CTACATACCCGAACTTTTGTCATGAACTGTTGTATTTTGCAAAAATTCACCACACGTTGTGGATTTTAGGCGGCATTACAAGTTGAATTAAATCAAATATGTTCAAGTATCAATAAGCCTTAAAAATAGCATTCAATATTGGGGTTATAATTGACATAATTTTGACTGATGGTTTTTAAAATGCTTCTGTTACAGTATTACCTTGTCCTTCTCATCAGATAATGATGATTGATACGATACTCAATAGTCCAATTTCGACTGTTGTCTTATCTAAAAAAATTACTAGCCACCGATAATCATAAACATACAGTATTGTTTATCAGTTGACGATAGCCGAAAACGACTAAGAATTTTAATAAAATCAAAGCTATGCCGACGTCGCATTAATCTACGTAAAATTATCATAACGAGTCTGTTTTAAAACGAAATTGTGGCTTTCTAAGAAATTAAGAATGTCAGGCAGAGGGGTTATAAAGCATGATTTAGTATGCACGGTTTTCGTGGCTCGGACACAACTTTTGGAGACTTTAATTGGTGTTGTGAGATGACCTTCTCGAACATCATCAGAGACCGTATTAGTGGCGATTAAGAGTTTAATCACCTCTATAAAATCTGGCGATTCAATGCAAAAATAAACTGCTTGAAACGGCGGCGGGCGGTAATAAAAATTTAACTAGTTCCTCTAGTCTTATCTTCGATTTGTATTATGTGCAATTATGTATGTTCCAAATTTTTTGTATGAAGCATTTCATGTTTTATTTTGCAAAATAGGGAAATTCGAACCTTCGGTTTTAATGAGGTCTATTTCTATTTGTAGTAGGTACCTATGATTTTGTGCGCACACTGTGATCGGTCAATTTATGTTATAATAAATTTAAAAAAATTACATAATAATATGTCATCAATAATATAATGTAGTCCGCCAATAACCTATATTAAATATATATTACACCTATTACTTTCGTGGCCTATAAATTATTATATTGTTAATGTATTAGAAATATTAAATTTCTTTTATTGAATTTTAAATTTCAATTTTATTCCTGATAAAATTATTTAACCTCTTCAGGGAAGAATGTTTTAATGTACAAAAAACATGTATTTAACTTGTTCTTTATTGCGATTTATTCATTTTATATTGAACACAATTCGGTAAGTAAAAAAAAAAACAAGCATAGTGAATATTCATTTTAAAAATAATGTCCGGATATGTAGCCATATAGCGTAGCGTACTATAAATAATTTAAAACAAAAAACTAAACGTACACATATGTGCCAATGTCTCTGAAGAGATATAAGACATGTAATTCCTGTGTAATTACTTACTGTGCCACACTAAATAAATTAAAAACACATTTTAAAGATCACGTTCTAAGCTTAACTACATACGAATACACTACGTATTTAATTACATTCCCATGAAACACAGCTGTTTCACGATAATTTTAGTCGAGAATTTAAGGGTGGGGCAGCCGTTCTTCTATACTGAGACCTAAGAACTCATATCTCAACGTAGGTGGCGGAATTTACGTTATAGATGTCTATGGGCTCCGGTAACCACTTAACATCAGGTAGGCCGTGAGCTCGTCCACCCAACTATACAAAATAAAATAAAAACTCATGTGCTTAAAGTAAAGTGTTACTGGTAAAGACTAGGGCGGAATCTTATAGATTTAAGTTCATTTTGGACAAACGAATTAGCTCAATGTGACAGTAAAAAATCAGCCCTAAACACATCATTACGGATCCTCCCGATGCATTAACGGTGCTTTTAGGTACCACAAGCACCGGTCACTGTCCTCGTCGAACCCGTCGCTTGTGATGAAGGGCTCGACGAGCGAATTAACCCACAGACACAGCCCGCTGAGTTTCTCGCCGGATCTTCTCAGTGGGTTGCGTTTCCGATCCGGTGGTACTTTCTGCGAAGCACTGCTCATGCTGGGGTGAATATTAGCAACACTCCCGGTTAGGGCCCGGTGAGCTCACCTACACGTCGGAGAAGCTGAAATAGCCTCTCAAGGCTATATAGGCATAGGTAGGGAAAAAAAACCATAGAGTACACACACTCACTAACTGCATAAGTCTTCTTTCTTATACCAGTTTGTGTGTTGTTATATTTATTGCACCACTGCCTGATCGTGTGTGGTGAATGCCGCTCGTGGACATGGACAATGGCCTAGTGACGATCAAGCTATGTTACTTGATTTAAAGTGCATTTTGATAATTAATAAATTATAAAATGACCAAATTAAGGTTAAATAGGTAACTGTTTATAATTATATTAAATACTAGCGGCCCGCTCCGGCTTCGCTCGGGTCTCTAACAAAAATTTCATAATAAAAAATTATAATACACATACATTAACCCTTATATTTGCCTCAGGTTTCTAAAAATAGGAAATTATAAAGATAATTTGAATATTATTATTTTAATGAACTTTTGTTGTTCATTTAAATAATATTTGTTTTATCTATTTTATTATTATTTTTCTAATTTTCGTAAAAAGGTCGTACATACAAACCAAAAGCCATTGAGTTTATGGGGTTGGAGCTTCCCTGTAAACGATATTTGAGGTTTTATTTTTTTAAATAAAAGAGCACTTATTATGGCATAACTATAGTAGTCAGACGTATGCTGTCGCGACACTTTTTGTAAATAATAATTTGTTCTACAAAGTCATAGTACATTATTTTATTCTACATCAATAGTTTTCGCAGCGCACGCGATGTAAAGAATATTTTAGGTAATTTTTTTACACCTTAGGTTACATTATTAGAGTTTTACTAAGGATCCCTAATAAAAAGAATATATCCTATGTCACTCGGGTATAGTGTAGCTTCCAAACAGTGAAAGAATTTTTCAAATCGGCTCAGTAGTTTCGGAGCCTATTCAATACAAACAAATCTTTCCTCTGTATAATATTAGTATAGACTAGCGACCTACCCTCGCTTCGCTTCGGAAACATTAAATTTTATTATTAATAGCTGAGTCCCGCGATGTTACCCGCGGTTATTGTCGTACCGCGGGTGAAGCCGCGGGGCGAAGCTAGTCTAAAAAAGTAGCCTAAGTTACTCCTTATATCATCAGCTACCTATCAGTGAAAGTCCTGTCAAAATCGGTCCAACCGTTCCAGAGAGAACCTAGAACAAACAGACAGACAGACAGATAGACAGACAGACATCATATGCATGTAGTAAAAAGAGGCTATTTCTATATTACAAACAGACACCCCAATTTTATTTATATGTATAGATATAGCGGTCGCAATGCTAGAATCTGAATTTAAGAACATTTCAGTGACAAGAGGAAACTGTATTTATACGTTATGTTTTGTACTATTGTTACGTATTGCACCATTGGTATTTACGACAATCACAGTGCCTATCCATGTTTCGTCGCTTACCACAGCGTCGTCTCCATCTGGCTCTGATTTATGGGACCTCGTTAATTTTATTTCCCAATTCGTTTTGCTTTATGATCTGATGTTACTCTTGGATATTTAAATAGTTCCTTTCTTAGAACACGTGTGATTTATGGATTTTAAGAAATCGATTCGAGGTGGTGGATGTCTGTGCAATGTGTATAGAGAAAGATTTAAGTTTAACCTCTGGGATTTTTTTTATTACTTAAGTTGGTGGCTGAGCTCACGTTCCACCTGACGTTAAGTGTTTACCGGAGCCCATAGACATCTACAGCGTAAATGCTGCCATCTACCTTGAGATATGAGTTCTAAGATCTCAATTTGTAAGATTAATAAAATTTGAAATAGCTGATCGTTTGTCGTATGATCTAAGGCAGACCAATGCCGATTTCTAATCTAGATTCATTAATGAATTTTAAAAAATAAGTTCTCTAGTTTTATCAAATAATTCTGGGTTAACGTATCCATTCCATTTTAGCTCCATCTAGAGATCATTAAATAACATTTATAACATTTACTATGGGCCGTATGGTCGTCTGCCTACAAGGGCAATAAAAAAAAAACATATTTTTGTTAATGTAAGCGTTCTCATATTACAAGCAAACTACATAAGCCGTTATCTAAATTCGTTGCAGTACATTTAAATGGCTAACTACGACCCAAACAATAGGTGAAGTAGTCGAAGGCAATACGTATAATTGCGTGTTCGGTTACTTGACAAGTTCGAATGGTATTGTTCCAGTTTTCTGGTCGCAACTACAAACAAAGGCAATTTATTTCTGATTTGTATAATAATGCAGCTCTCGTTGCGAGCATTGAAACTTAAATTCCATTTGCAGCACGACAATGGAAGGCTCAGTAACAACGGTTTCAACTGAGAATTTCTATGGAAAACTTTTTGTATGTGTAACTCTTTTCATATTTTTTTTCTACTACACGTGCGTCTCTCGTCTCGTTACAAAGTGACAAAACGTAATTCGTAGGCGACAAAGTTGTAGCCTTATTTGATAGATCAGGTAAAAATGAGTATTCGTGAGTCAACGACAACAAGGGTGATGCTATTGTGCAGTCGCGCTGTGGCTTCAATTGTTATCGATCCTTTTGTATAGCGGTTTGGTTCTATATCTATAGGTAATCTGTAATATTCTCCATTCACATTTGAAGCTAATGCGATCGAGTGCAAGGTTTTTAGGATTTATGGTGTTACGTTATTTTAAATCTTAGATGATTCACCGTTAAATCATTAGGGTAAGAAATTACTGTTAATATCCAACTTTCATGCTATGTATAAAATAGTTTCAAATATCCAACTAGAATGCTGCATGCCTATTTCTGCCCGAACCAATAAAGATGTTCTGGATTAAAAGGCAAACGCAGTTATTTTATTCTATAACAACTGTTTCGTTTTAGTCTATTTTTGAGGTTGAAGAGCCAAAGGAGTAGTTTTAATATCTCTGAAGTCATTCACGTTGAGGTATCTATGGCCTTACTTATCCACTTCACAACAGTGAGTAGCTAATTCGTCTCGCCCATAGCGCCAAAAAAAAACGAAAATCATGTAAATACGACAACTACTTACCATACTGATGCAGCAAGACCGAAATAGTAGAGTAGTAAGAACACAACAGCGCAATTTGGATTCGCAAGTCCGTCGTGTGCTAGAAGCATGCGTGCCGGGGATGTGGAGTCCTTGGCGCAGCCGGCTGCAGCTCGACCTGCAGCAGCGCGAACACCCCATCCAGCCGCTGCAGCACACCTGCACAGAGCCACTAGCACTAGTGCTCGTTCTCCAGCTCCCCCACGATCTCCACACGCTAATTGCGCAGCGACAGCTGCCAAAGTGCAAGCAAAGCTTAATGCTGCCCACGTAGCGAGCCATACTTCGGCCGCTCTGCGTTCCCCAGTTTCCCACAGGACTTCGGCATCACAAAACTGGGCGCAGCGGCCTGATCCTCTAACCCACACCCAACTGTTTGGTTTGATTAATCTCCTACACGCACCCGTGGCGTTCAACGGGATACTCCCGACCGGTGGGGCTCTTTCGCCGGGCCCCTCCATACACATGTGTTCGTGATTGTTTTCCGCTGGAAACAGTGTGCAATCTAGCTCCGGGGGCCAAGAAAATCCGAAACCATGAAGCACAGGGAAACATCTGGCGTGCACACTGTCACACAGTCCTCGACAGGGCCCGATCGGCAGCGCCACTTTATCCGTACACATGGGAACGTAGACCGAACACAGAAACAAATGAAGCTGGGAGGAGCAGCCGTACTGGACCAGCGGACTGAACGTTTGCAACGTGATATCGGCATCAGCTTGCAGGGTGTGCCGGGCCAAGTTCGGCATACCGGTCTGGTTGTAGCCGATGTTCTTGCACATTGCCACTTTAATGGGTTCGCACGTCCGCACGGAGGCCTCGGCGATGGCGCGCGGAACGAGGCAAATAGTAAACAGAATCGCTATAATGCACAACATGACGAACTTTTGTTTACACGTGAAAGCTCTCAATCATTGTATCGTAGAAGTTTGCGCGCGAGCTGTGGCGGGCGGCGCGACGGACGACCGTAACTGATCGCGTACCGAGGCGGTTTGTGTACTGCGGAGTGCGAGCTAGGCAGTGACGATGCGAGACGCGAGCTGGCGGGGGGAACCCATCCACAAAAAAAGGTACGCAGGTATGCGCTGCGGAACAGCGGCGGGAAAGAAAGAGAAACTACCGAGGAGAGGTCGAGTTCGGTGTCCGAAGCTCGTTAGCCGGCGCACGCAGTACTCGTTTGTTATCATTATTATCACCGCAGCACGTTATCAGACGCGGTGCAATCGAACCGTCGATGCTTGTAATATCAGGGCTACAGTTACAACACTTATCGCTGTGGAACATCGATTTTTTGATAAACTCTATATTGTATTGACGGTGATGTAGTTTTGCTTTTGCTCGAACTATCCAGTCGATTGAGCTCTCGGCTCATTTTTATAGTGATTACCGGAGTCTGTAGACCTCGGAACGTGGATGCCATCACCCATCTGGAGACTTGAGTTCGAAAATCTCAATAACTGTATTAGATTGTCGTGCTTAGAAGCCCCGTGAGCTCACCTACTCGCTCGGTGCATCTAGTATGACCCCTCGAGGTCACTAGAAAAGGTAGGAAAAACAAAAAGTGCCGCGCTTCATTAATGATTGGCGGCAGAAATAGGAACAGTGGTAATGCTTACCCGTACACGCCAATACATCGAAGTACAATTGAGCACACTTTGGTTCTTTTTCTTTTTAGTAAGTTAATCAGACCACCTCAATCAATTCACCTATAAATAACAAACAATTTAACCGTAGGCAGCGGCTTGGTTCTGCCCCTGGCATTGCTGAAGTCCATGGGCGACGGTAACCACTCACCATCAGGTGGGCCGTATGCACGTCTGCCTACAAGGGCAATAAAAAAAAGAAAACCAAATAACAAATACATACCTACTTTAAAAATAAACTAAATAAATAATTTTTAAATAATTTTATTGTACATAATTTGCTACAATAATATTTTAAAAAGCAGTACAGTAAATTTGTTTTAATAAACATAAATAGGTTAATATGGTGAACAATAAAACAGTACAAAAATTGGACCAAAATTTAAATCGATATAAATGATCTGTGGGTTATTTAGCTTCGACAGACGCATCTCGATTGATAAACCAAATACATATTATATTTACAATGTGACCAGTTTCCTAACTACAGGACTCACAGAAAGGGATAAAAAAAACTGAATACTCTTTTCATATTATATAATACAAGATTCTTTCGACATTTTTAATGTATATTAATCACTTTAAAAACGTTAAAATGCCGATATCGAAAACGTCACGAGTAAATGAAAAATCTCTATGAATTTATATTTTTTTCACTTAAATAAAACACCAGATGCTTTTTACACTACACTAAACCGATACATATAATACAATGTTCACAGGGAATATAAAATATTCTATTTGTGTTAGTTCATTATCACAATGAATGACGAAGCGAATGAAAAATAAGGAATGCTCACAAGCGTCGCGTCATCTGCGCTAACTCTACGGATCTGATGAAACTGTTTTTGAACATTGGCACACAGAATGACCTTTAATCAAATCAAAATTAATTTCAATTCACTTCTATGTACGTACATAATGAATTTATGGCGTCGGCGTGGCGGTAAATATTTTAAATATAAACGGCACCCGTCTTAGTACGTTAATGAATGAGAAAAATGAATGATCTAGAATAATCTAGATGATTACAACGCATAGAATAATGAAGTTATTAATATAGCCTCTAAATTTAACAATTATTAAAATGTACATACACGACGACGTTTCATTTTGAGTGTTTTTTTTTTTTTTTGAAAAAGCATTATTCGTGTCGTGTCGTTTCATTAATACAACCATCCGTCGGGGTCTTTTGAAGGGAAACACGACGGTGAAGATGCCGGTTCGAGGCAATATAAAATACTAAATGCAACAACATTCGCTTTGTTTGTAAATTTCCGCGCACGTTTAAAAAAAACCAACTCCCATCGAATCCGTGGAGGCCCCAGACTAGAGCGGTGAAAAGCGCGACTGGTGGATCCACCGACCGCACGTAGGAGGCTCTTCGACTAGAGCGATGGGGATCGCGGTTAGAGACTTAACGGCTGCACGCAGGAGGCTCTTAAACTACAATGGTGGGGCGCGCGGATGGACATCAACCGACCGCCCGGAGGAGGCTCCGTAACTACAGTGGCGGAGTGCGCGGGTAGATATCAACAGACCGCACGGGGGAGGCTCCTCAATAACAGTAATGGGGCATGCGGTTGGACGTCAACCGACCGCACGGGATGCTCCTCAACTACAGTGGCGGGGTGGGCGGGTGTATATTAACCGACCGCACGGGGGAGGCTCCTCAATTACGGCAGTGGGGCGTGCGGTTGAACATCAACCGGACAGAGGAAGCTAATAAGCGGCGGAGAGCGCTGAAAAACATCCACCGTCTGCACGAAAGAGGCTCTTCGACTAGAGCGGTGGGGAGCGTGGGTGGAGACGCACCCTTAATAGCTCGCGGTCCCTTTGCACGTCCGCCAGCTCGGCAATGAGCGCGCGGCACACGCGGTGCAGCACGGCGTTCTGCTCCTGCAGCGCCTTCACATCCGGCTCCGTGTCCGCAGAGGGCTCACGAGAGGCACGCCGGTAAACCTCGAAGGCACCCTGGGAACGCGCCGCGTCCTCCCGATTGTACCCGAACCCCTCGGCTTCGTACTCGGGCGGTACGTCGGCGGGCGGGTCCCTCGGCGGCGGCTGCGGAGGTGCACCCTTGAGACGCGTGAGGTCCAGCGAACTAGAGCGTGCGTGGTTGCGGAGCGGACGCGGCGGCGGCGGTGGCGGCGGTTCTTTGCGTGGCAACGGTTGCAACGAAGCGGGCCCCTCGTCTGCTGCGACGATAGGTTCGCGAGTCGGAGGAGGGGGCAGAGCTCCCGTCCCTTTCACTGGTTTTCGTGGTTGGGGTCTCTGCACAGGCCGGGTATCGGCGGCGGAAGCGTTTGTTTCGGCAGGACGCTTGGGGCTGGCGAGCTCAAAAGCGAGCGCAACGTCGTCCCGCCGCGGGGAGGCGGAGGCGCGGGAGTCCCCGTCGCCGGCTGAAGCTTCCGGGGTAACCCGCAGTGCGACCGGATGAAAAATTTTCGGATCTCGTTCGACGGCGGCGCGCTGGAAGTCAAAGTTCACTGGTTTCGGACCGGGACTCGAAACGCTGGATGTAGGAGAGTCGACGAACTTCGTCCACTCTTTGTTCGGTTGCGCGTCCGCCTTTGGAGGCGAAGCCGACGGATGGCGCTCCTCAGGCCGGCGACTCGTTTTCGCATCGTACGGATCAGCGCCACTGTCCGATTTCGGTGCGAAATTGAAGTCCGCTGAAGTCCCCGAGCCGAACATCTCGGCGCCGAGGTCAACGAGGTCGGTAGTGACGACGCGTTGTGAGAAGCGCGAATCGACCTTTGGTACGAGCGGTGGGGGTAGCATCTCCGGTACCGGAATATTGTTCCGCCGCAATACAATGAGATGCATGGCTATGCTGAACTCCTCTAATGAAAGCATTCCATCTTTATCGATGTCGGATAGTTGCCAAATTTTTCTTAAATCGGGTACGGGAAGTCTTGATTTCTCGAAAAATAGCCTGTCAAAAACATACAATAATGAATTATTTTAAGTACTTTCACTTTGGGTTTAACTTGTTATTTGTTCATTCGAACGTACCTTGCAGTTTGTCCGGACAGAAGTCCTCGTTCGGGTCGCAATTGTGAGAATTGTGACGCGTAGTGATGCGCCTGCGCTTCACTAATAGACCAGATGTCATTGCAAGTATCTCCCTCGCCATCCTCTTCAGATGAATGACGATCGGACGATTCTTCTTCTGTGCCTTCAAATGTTAAAAAAATATTAAAAACATTACATCAATTTTTAAATCTATATAAGGTATTTTTAGGTATTTCGAATCTCGAAATACTTCTTATCACCAGCAAAGTGCAAGGAAAGAGGCCTAAGGGGCGTAGTCCCATGCGCTGGTCCGATCAGATTAAGACGACTTTGGAATCCAGCATCAATGTCGCTATCCACTGCGCGGAGGACAGAAGTGAATGGAGGAACATAGTCCTAACAAAAGTGCGCAGTAAAGGTCAAAACCCTCAGAACTGAGGAATACGACGCACGGAGGAGGGAGGTATTTTACGTCTATCGATATAAAATATAACTAACTAACCAATTAATTTGTACTCAACATGGGACAATATGACAAGGTCAACCCAATAACTAAGAAATAAAGTTCAGTTCAGAAGAAACAACACTTTGTTAGTCAAACTTTATTTAAATCAATATTTTAGATATCAAAAAACCATGACTGTGTTATTCAACATCTACATTCATTTACACCAAAAATTCATCCGTTCCAGTGTGAAGGGTGTATTATGTATGGTTGTAGAAATCTACTTACCTAAAAGTCTTGTGTGTTCTTCAGCTGTATTTGTAGGCCAAACTCCTCGACCGGTGGCACTATGTTCCCAAACTGGGTGTACTCTTTCGGCAACGCTGTTGGTTGGGGTTGGGCTTTCACTCGCTGTGCTCCAGGGTGACCCAGTTTTCACTCTCCGCTGTTAAGATTTGTCATTTTTCAATTATATTTTCTTCTTTTATTTTAAGTGCAGATCGGGAACCCAGGGTGCATCTGATTAAGCAGTTACAAAAGCTCCCATAGATACTATATTTTGTTTTTGATTGCTGTTACACAATAATGAAGAATAGAGTTTGAGATAGGCTTTTTTTTTCTTTTTTTTATTGCCGTATAGGCAGACGACAGCTATGAGAACCAATGTCTCCATCCTCGAAGAGCTGAAGGTCACCAAGCGCCTGCTGACTATGTGCCAGGAAAGGATCCGGAGTTTCTTTGGGCACATAATGCGATCCTCATTGCACAGCCTGGAGAAACTCACAATTCTCGGACAGATGGAGGGGAAGCGCGCTAGAGGAAGAGCGCCAGCTAGATGGGTTGACCAACTCAAGGAGGTGACTGGAGGCCAGATATGGGGAGCGGTACATATGGCGCAGAACCGGACCGAGTGGAGAAGATTGACATACAGTCACGATCCTCAGCATTGAGGGAACGACCAGAAAGAAGGCAGACGAGCATACGGCCCACCTGATGGTGAGTGGTTACCGCCGCTCATGAACGTCAGCAATGCCAGGGGCAGAGCCAAGCCGCTGCCTACCGTTTAATACTCTCCACAAACCTTGTTTGAAGAAGGACATATCATAGCGCTCGGGAAACACTGGTTAAATAGAGTGCTATTGCTACAGAAGGCTAATGAAATTATTTGGAGATAAATGATAATAATAATAAATAACTGGGAACAAATCATGCAATGCTCATCAGGCTCCAAATTAGGATTACCTGTGTTATGGGTACAAGAGACTGACATACACACTTCTATATTTGTTTACATATAAACATATATAGATAATAAAGCCCCATACAAAGAGAAATAACCTGTTCATCACACAAATATTTGCCCAATGTTGGATGGATGTCCTCGGTGCAACAGTCACTGAGACCACTGAGTCAGTCTGTACAAGACCATTTTTATTAAATTTTGAAATACAGAAAGACTGAATTTAGAAGCATTTTTGGTGTGAAATGCAGATTCATAAAAATCTTTATTAATAGTAGCTACAGGAGATTGGAGGTAATTTTATCTTCTAATAAGAGAATATCTCATGCATCTATTTTGAAGATTAATAGTAATAATATAATCTTCTGGCAAATACTCAATTCCAATTCACAATAACCAATGTATACATGATAAGGCAAAAGTTAATGCTAATTATTACAGATGTTAAATAATTCAGTCACTTATTCTGAAATTCAATATAAGTCCAGAATAATATAAGCTAAAACGGAATTATCTGGAGCTACTGCTTAATATTAGAAAAGCTAGAAGACCAACAATTACTCCAATAATTTACATTACTTTCATTAGGATTTTTAATGACTTTTACAGACTTGTCATTCTAAATCACTAATTTGCTCTCTGTCACAGACACTATCTTATTGTTTTTAGCATATCTTAGAGTATAAAACACAATATTACTACAAAATTAGAACTCATTCATACACCAACAAAAACAACTAAATATGAAATTATATGTATCTCATTTGTAACAGAATCTATTATGACAGATGAATCATGCCAATATTTATAAATTAAGTTTGCAGATACAAGTTTGAAAATATTAAAAAACCATTTGGATTTGTAATCAAGTTTTATAACATCCTCTTTTTTTGGTCTTTGTATCAAACTAATAAACTAATAGAGCTGTGGTTTTGTTATTTGCGGCATTTAGTCTATATAGACTTTAAATTTGAATAAGTAATGAAATAAATTTTATTTACCTAGTCTGATGTTTTTCTGTGGACTATTTACTTAATCTTACAATTGATTTAAGATATCCAAGCAAGTATTGAATAAAAAAATTATCCCAAACTTACACCACGCGATCCAGATCTTTGTGACATTGTTTCCGACTCAATTTCAGAATCAGTACTGAGTGCTTCATTCCCATCATGAGACAATGTCTGCGGAACATCACTATCAGACAGATTAGAAGATAGTCTTATTGGTTCATAAGCACTAATATTTCCAACAAAATTTCTTTCACGTTTTGATATGTGATGCTCTTTAGGAGAATTAGATAGCTGTATTAAATCAGAATTAGCTTCTGAGTTAAGTGCCCACGTGAACCTCGGCAGTGGAAGATCAATAGGAGTTGATAAAAGATCAGGTTTTAGTGCTATGTTAGTTTGATGTGCAGCTATTAATTTAAGTGCCGAGTAAAATTGCTTCCTGTTCATATGATTTAATGTTGCACAGTTGTTAGGAGACACGCTTATATCCATGATCTGAAAAATATCAAAGTTATGTACCAATATTATATGTACAACCTGTGTTATCACTTATTGGGTGTAACCTATTCATTTTATTACCTGTTTCAGAATATCATTGGATATGTTCGACGATCTAAATAGTTCTGTTGCTTTTAAAATTGGTATTTTCCCATTAGATTCTTCATCACAACATAAAAACAAATCACCGAAATATCTTGTTTCGGTTTCTGTCAAGTTGAGATCCTCCATTATTTTATTAATTTAACAACTGTACAAACTCCTATAACTTTTATCAATTCCAGGTTAAATGTACAACAAAAGTAATCATTATCTATTGATAAAAACCATATTCCTTAGTAAATAGATGGATTTGTATCTTGCTCATCACAAAATTTACACGAAGCAAACGAAATGTCACTGACAGAACAAAGACAGCTGAAGCGACTTTCGTCCATCATTTGTACGACCACAGACCTAACACAATATTCGATCTGGGTGCTTTAGCAATTTGTTTCAGTCTTTCAGCCCAGTCACGCAATTAAAGTTAGTCAGCCTTGTCAAAGAGTTATGATATTTTTTTATTAAATTATTCTTAATATGACGAAAGCATTGTTGGTGGTCCGGAGGTCTTTCCAGTTTCACCAGGACAGGGTTATGATATTATTATATCGAAACGTACCGTGCATACATGAGTCATCCATTATCAAAGGTGGCAATCTGTGCATTTGGACAAAAACATGTTAATGATATGTCAATACAGATTGATTTGAATATAATCGTCTCCTTCAAAGAATACGGTTCAAAACCTGCATGAAATAAAGGTTAATACTTAACCTGTTATTTATCTAAGATGTCGTTCAGAAGAGTTTTGTGACTGCCAATGGAATACAAAGTCAATAATTCGTTTTTCTGATTTATCAATAATTGTCCAAAAGTCACATTGCCGGCTTTGATAATAGTCGACTCACATATAGGTACAGCAAGAGAGTTCATGTCCGAACCCATATAATATTCAAGTTATTGTTGAATGCATCTTGCTTTGGCTGGTTCAGACTCGTAGTGTATGACATCAGCTTTCGCAGTAAAAGGTTTTTTGAGATATTCTAAAGAATCCAACCGAATATTCTGTTCAAAATATAATAAAGTTGCGGATTTAAAAATTATACATTGAACCATATTTTCATTATAATCTCTATTTTCACAAGCGTTGATGTTTTAATGAGAAATAATATGTACCTACTTATACAAGGTTCAAACACATAATATGTAGTTGTAAACAAATCGTTACATATTTTTCATTTTCAGTAATATAAATACCGAGAATTCATTCCATTAATCATGTTAGGAGGAAAGTTTGTACACCTATCCTAAAAAATATGTTAGTTCTGAAAATAGCCTAATGTCCAGTGTAGAAGACAATCTTCTTCCCAAATTCGAAACTCAACATTGTTGGTCTTTCTTTTTTATTTAAAATAAAATATAATCGTTTTAGGCAAAGAAGCTTACGGTCAGTGTTAAATGCTTAGCGAATCCCACATCGTAACTAAATATTGTTTAATGGCCTGCCAGAAGCAAGAATTGAAAAAGAAGGAAACTGCGTACATTCTAACAAATCTTCAGATTTCTACCTATAAATACTTTTAATTAACCAAAATTGATTTCCTTCTTTTAGTAGGTAGGTACTCGTCTCTATATTCTTATTTATGTTAATAAGCAACGCTACAATTTAAACGGATAATTTTTGTCTCTGGCTAGTTCTTCATTCCACTAACACAAGTGGTATGCTTTCACCAGTTTAAAAACTTAGTTTTCTGTTAGATACTAGTGGTAAAGCATGCTTCTGTGAAGTTGGAAGTGGATAACACTACCCTACCTTCCTTATATAAAGCAATACAAAATATAATTAGAAGTAATTCCTTTGTCATGAGTCGTTCGTAAAAATCTTAGTTAATTCTTTAAGATGAGTTAATCACTAGATACGAATATACAGGCGTATATCGGTAGGCAGCGGCTTGGCTCTGCCCCTGGAATTGCTGAAGTCCATGGGCAACGGTAACCACTCAACATCAGGTGGGCCGTATGCTCGTCTGCCTACAAGGGCAATAAAAACATATATATATACCACTCGCCGTAACTAATAAGTGAGTCACGTTTAAAAAAATTAATGTTTCACATTCCTGATTTCCATTTTTTCAAATATCTTCCAAAAGAATCATCGCTCATGAGTACATGATATTTAGGATTGTGTAATAAAAAACAATCTTGATTGAATAATATTTTATTTGCAACTGCATAAGTTATTTTTGTGATTTCGTCAAATACTTGAATATAGCAAACCATTTCTATAAGTATTTTCTAAATAACAAGCAGTGTACTACTATTCAAAGTAGTAAAATAATTTACAAAAAATAATAATAATCTTAACTTATATTTAAGCCGATAGATAATCTCGACGTACATGTTGAAAAATATCCTTACATTCATACATTAGATCAAGAGTTTAATCTTTAGATTGAATGTACTTGATGAGATCAATGACTCTGCTGGAATAACCATATTCATTGTCGTACCAACTGATCAGCTTCACAAAGTTGTCATTCAAAGAAATTCCAGCGGCAGCATCAAAGATTGAAGAGTGTGAATCACCAATGAAGTCTGAGGACACAACTTGATCTTCAGTATACCCGAGAATGCCCTTCAAAGGACCTTCAGCTGCCTCCTTGACCTTTTGCTTGATGGCTTCATAGCTTGCAGGTTTTCCAAGACGAACAGTTAGATCAACAACAGATACATTAGCAACAGGGACGCGGAATGCCATTCCAGTCAGCTTGCCATTAAGAGCAGGGATAACCTTACCCACAGCTTTGGCAGCACCAGTAGAGGCAGGAATGATGTTTTGTTGAGCACCACGGCCATCACGCCATAATTTTCCAGAAGGTCCATCAACAGTTTTCTGTGTAGCAGTTGTGGCATGAACAGTAGTCATCAAGCCCTCAACAATTTCAAAGTTATCATGAATAACCTTTGCAAGTGGGGCAAGACAGTTTGTGGTGCAAGAAGCATTTGAGATGACCTTAAAAGAGGGGTCATAAGCTTCTAGGTTAACACCCACAACAAACATGGGGGCATCAGCACTGGGAGCTGATATAATAACTTTTTTAGCACCTCCCTCCAAGTGAGCAGATGCTTTATCTGTAGTGGTAAAGACACCAGTAGACTCTACAACATATTCAGCCCCAGCTTTTCCCCACGGAATGGCCTTAGGGTCCCTTTCTGAGAAAACAGCAATTTTGTTACCATTAACAACAAGGAATCCATCCTGAACCTCAACACTGCCCTTAAAACGGCCATGGGTGGAATCATACTTGAAAAGATAAACCATATAGTCAAGACCGATGAAAGGGTCATTTATAGCGACCACTTGAGCTCCTTTTTCAATAGAAGCACGGAGCACCAAACGGCCAATGCGGCCAAATCCATTGATTCCAATTTTTGACATGTTCTCTGCAATGAAAATACAAGACAAATTAAAACTAGATTTAGGTAGAATCAATTTACTTTTCTTTATACATAATTGTAGTATTTTTAAAACATTTTATGACATTTTTTATTACAAATAAATTAAAAAAGTAATACATAGGTACTAACTACAGTTTCACATTCTAAATTAATCTGTAAATTTTAAATCTGTAGAAAAATTGTACATGAAACAGAAAAAAGATATTTAAAAAAAAATAGAGGACCAAAAATGTGTTGTGATAATTATAAATGATACATTTAGTATATTACAGTAATTTATTAAAATAGTTTACTATATTTGTTTATTTTTCAGCGAAATTGTTAAGTTTCGTGGGATATTATTTTCTTATATAATAAACTTTATTCCTATAATACGCGATAGATGAATTTTTTGTTACTAAATCTCATATGATATAGCTTTTTTGAAGAAATACCCAATTTATTGATGAGCGTACCGGCGCGTGGAGGTCACGTAGAGGTCACACAAAAATTTAACAAATACCATAATCACAAGATTCTGTAGTTACTATTTAAGCATGTAGATTTTATTGGGATCAATAACTTTTATGACTTATGCTTTTTTTCAGTTAAAGTTTTATAATACGAAAATGGATCGTGAAATTGTTACGTGGTCGCAGCGACCTGGTATCAAAGTAAAACAGATAATAAAGTAGTTACTAGTTATAATGCATAAAAAATTTTGAAAATTAACCTTGACAAACATGATAAAATAAACTTACCGGCAAGTTATAGAAAATTTGTTGAATAACTGACCACCACCACGTACGTTCAGTACAAGATGGAGTTTTAAAATGTCAGATGAAGGACAAATTCCGACAAATTCACAAAATCTGTCAAGTTGGAATTTTCATAGAGAAGGGCCAGACGCAACCATAAAATCGCTTTGGTTTTGGTATAGATAATACAAATATACGCTATTTACGAAAAGTTTAGTACTATATAGTATTTACATAAACTTGTTTTGAGTACACCAAAACATGAAAACAAGGTGTCAATTTGAATTTACATGCCGATGGAGATATAATAAGCACAATTTACCTGCAGTCAAACTGCGTAAGCAGTTTTGCAGGGCATGTATTGAATGTAAGTGTAACTTTTTATGAATAAATATATTACATACATACATACAAATTTTAAAAGAGGGTAAACCTACGTCATTTATATATCGAGTTAAAAGAAAAAACACAATATTTCGTATATTGGACGGCATAGATTCATAATAATTTTGATTTAATACCAGATTTTGTGGATTACGATGAAATTCATATGAAACTAATTGGAAATTATTTAAGTAGATCCTTTTCAGTGAAAATAATTTTCCAATTCATTTCATTAACATCTTAGTTCTGAGGTACCTAACCAATATAAAAAATATAACTGAATTGAGAATTTCATTCATTATTTAATGTGGTAGTTGCATGGGTACCTACTATTATAATATTTAATAAATATAAGTCAAATAGTTTTTATTGTATGCCATAGATTATACAAACGCTAAGACACGACATGCAAGCCCGATGTAAACAAGATGAACTTAATCTTACCTTATTAGAATACCTATGTATGTATTTCGGATCATTTTTACTAAATTTGTCATGGCAACTAAATTAGGTATAAATGGATTCGGTCGAATTGGCAGAATTATTTTTAGAACATGTCTCCTACACAACGAGCTAGAGGTTTGTACAATTAACATAGATTCTTACTGACGAAATGGAAATTATGAACTGCATTCTAAATGAAGGAAACTGGTAATATGTTAGAAATCAGCCTTTAGGGGTAAAATTGTAAAATATAGTGAAAACTGACTATAAAATGGTAGATTCTGAATAAGCATTCCAATTGGATTATCGTGGCTGTATATAACTATATCTCGATTCAGATGACAGGAACAATGGAACGCCCGATTAAGTTTCAGAGCTTTTTGGCACTCAAAGCGCAACGTGCAACCTAACCCATAGATAAACAGAGCCCATTGAGTATCTCGGCGGATCAGTGGGCCACAGTTCCGATCTGGTGATAGATTTAGCGAAGCACTTTTCGCTAGGGCTAGTGTAAGCAATTTCTCTCAGACTGTGCCATATAAGCTCGCCTACAGAACCGGCAAAGCTTGAATATCCCTTGATACTACAATCTACAATACCCTGCGACCCTTATAAAGATCAATACTAGCTAATATCCAGTTTTCAGTTCTTATATTTTAATAAAATTAAATCCTAAATTCGTTTATCTGACTTTTAGATAGGTATACTATTTATTTTATTTATTATTGGATATAGAACTAGAAATGTTGATTTATTAATTCCTCTTCAAGGTAACAGCTATAAACGACCCAGCAATCGATGCAGAATACATTTGCTACTTGATAAAATTCGACTCCACACATGGAAAGTTTTCGGGAACGGTCACGCGAAATGATGATAACGAAATAATTGTGGACGGTTCGTTAATAGTTTCGTCATTTTATTAAATAAATACGATTTTATATACTGAAGTTGTTTACTAGTTTCTTTTTATCGCGGTGTTTATCGCACTCCATAAGTACGATGACCTTTGGGTGTGTCCGCAGATCTAAATGTTACATAAATCTCGGTATCTATCAAATACATTCAGAAACAACACTTGGATTCGTACCACGTGTAACTGATAATGCTATGCTAAGTTGACTTGTATGAGAAATTTGAAATTATTACATTAACCACCTTGAGACATGAAGTGGCCTCATCTACTTGTGTCAAGATTTAATGTAATGCGATTCAACATCTTATTTGGATTTATCTGCAGAATAAATGCATTTCTTCCAGATCGTCCCATAAAAATATTCCGCGAGAAACTGCCGTCCAGTATACCATGGCAATCTGCTGGCGTTCAATATGTTATCGAATCTTCTGGAATGTTTACTTCACTGGAGAAGGCTTCGGTTAGACACTTCAAAAATAAACGTTACAAAAAAGTGGCACCACAAGCGTTACTAGGCTGTTGTTTTGTTTTAACATAAGTTCTATCCACCAGGGTCATCTTCGAAGCGTTAGAGTCAAACGTGTGATTGTAACTGCACCAAGCGTCGACGTACCCATGTTGATTTTGGGCGTCAATGATGGTGAAATATGTTCAGGTGACTGCTTTACTATGAATTGTAGGGTCGTTGGCTTAATAGTTGCGACGTTTGCTGTATTCGCAACGATAGGTATGTGACTATGTCGAAGGACAAAAATGCAGTTATATATATATACAATATATATATTTTATTGCTTATTTTGGTGGACGAGATCACGGCCCACTTGGTGTTATGTGGTTACCGGAACATATAGACATTTTCAACATAAATGCCGCCACTTACCTTGAGATATAATTTCTAAGGTCTCAGTTACAACGGCTGCCCCACTCTTCAAACTGAAACGCATTACTGCTTCACGGCAGAAATAGGTAGGGTGGTAGTACGTACCACCAGTATATATTTATTATTTAAACCATGACTTGCCCAACACGCTTTCACCGACATCTTCCACAATGAAGTCTTCGATACTTCGTGGAATAAAATGAATCTTGCGATATTTGCGAATATTCTTGATTACTTGTGTGGCAAATTATTGTGAGGCCACACGGTCCGCTACCACCGAATTGATTATTTTTGCTGAGAACCCCTCACAAGTTCGGCTGAAAACACTTCAACAACAGGTCTCATGTTTCGCAGCAGTATCAATATAGCAATGGGCTTTTGTAATCTCTCACCAGGTGTGTTGTGAACTTCTCGGCAGTATTTCTCTATCTCTTCTCTCTCTCTAGTAAAAAAAAAGAAGACAAACAAACTGCTATCAAGTCTGGACACTTGATTTACAAATATCTAATTATGGCTGGGGGAGGCCTATGTTCATTAGTGGACGTTGATGATGGCGATAATGAAATATCGCTGGTACCGATCGTGATAACACAGCTTGCAGCCTCGTAAGCTCAGTCTGATTCGAGTTCAGTTCTAATTAATCGGTAACAAGATTAACGGCCGTCTGGTGTAGTGGTAAGTGACATGGTCACTACACAAGTGGGTCGCGGGTTCGAATCCCGCCAAGGGAGGATATTTGTATGATAAATATAAATGTCCTCTCCAGGGTTATGGATGTATATTAAATATATGTATGTGTATAATAAAAATCTTACATTTATTTCCGTTATCTGGTACCTGTAACACAAGTTCTTTACGAACTTATCACGGGACCAGTTAACGTGGCGTGATTGTTAGTAAATATTTATTTATTCATTTATTAATGAAATTCCGCTTCGCTTGTTATGTTTTATAGTATTCGGTATTCGCAGAGTTATACCTAGACATAATTAAAACTAATTATTCGTATATTTTACATTTTTCGTTCCAACGAACACCGTACGTGAATTTAATGATAATTATTATTGTAAGCCCGAACTTGAGCCGTAAAAGTAGTTTGAATCATACTAATTTCTATGTTATTTTATAAAATATAACAATAAATAGTGAACTCCTTTTCACACATTGTGAACACATTTCTTCCAGACATGAAAGTTTTGTCGTGTGCATCAAGCACTTTATATTGTTTGGCACCGGTCATAAAGATATTGGAAGATAACTATGGAGTATCCGAAGGTTTCGTAACAAGTATACATGCAATGACGCCATCATTGAAACCCCTAGATGGACTGTGCTTAAGAGGGAAGGTTAATGAAAATCATATAAGTTCCACGTTTAGCAGTCCCAAGCTAGAACTACAACATTAGTCAAAAACAAACACACACAGCCCGAAAATACCGATATTCAACCAAAGGCCGACTTCAGCCGAGAAACGGGTCGGATGCCGCAATCTATTTTCACCCAAATTTAGTTCGTGCTAGTAAATTTTCACCGCATTATTTTCATTAAATTCCTCTAAAACCAATTTCTATCCTATTCATTTTTTTATGGGTATTGAACGTACAGGAACAGTCAAGTACATCTACCTACTCATAGTTGGTCTCCGTCGGTCATGAATAACGGCAATGCCAGAGGCATATCTGATGCACTATCGAACGCAATATTGTTTGATTTTAAAAGTCTTTTCCTAACTTGTCTCTTTGCAGCACTGGCGCGATCATCGGAGTATACATCAGAACATCATACCGGCCGCCACAGGAGCATGTAAAGCCCTTGGCAAAATCATGCCACAAGTTAAAGACAAACTGACCGGTTTAGCTTTTCGAGTACCGATTGTCAACGTTTCCGTTTTGGATATTTCTATCCGGTTGGTTTTTTTTATTGCTCTACACGGGCAGACGAGATCTGGACCCAGTCGGTGTTACGGTTTCCGGAGCCTATAGACATCGAGGTATCAATTGTATTGTATAAAGGCTGTCCCACCGTCCAAACAAGGACGACGGCTTCAAGGCAAAAGCAGGCACGGTGGTGGTATTTTAGATTAATTGCTAAAGGCTGAAAAATTAACTGCAGATTTGTAGGCAGCAGCTTGGCTCTGCCCCTAGCGTTGCTAAAGTCCATGGGCGACGGTAACCACTCAGCATCAGAAGGCCCGTATGCTCGTCTGCCTACAAGCACGATAAAAATAAAAATAATAATTGCGTAGCGTCGTAGGAAGACAGTCTCCGTTGCATGCGAGATAAGAACGGTTATCTCGTGTTAATTAGTGGAAGGCCCTTTCAAGTCCAAGTCCCAATAGTACACAACAGAGGTCTCGATTCAAAACGTTCCGATTTTATCTGCAAAATAGTGCAAATGAAGTACCTAGTCTAAAATATTTTAACAATTTCTAGTCTATGTAAGGAAACGACTTGGCAAGATATTTTGAAGAAGATAGAAGAGGCCGGTCGTAGCAAGATGGAGAACATTATAAAGGTAACAAGGGATGATAACGTTTCTTCGGATTTCGCTGGTGACGAGCACTCGTGCATCGTGGACGGGAATTCTAGCTTACAGCTAAAGCCGGATTTCTACAAAATCGTGTGTTGGTACGAAAATGAATATTCCTACGCGTGCCGTGTCATAGACACTGTATTGTTTATTGAAAATCAGTTAAAGTTCGTTTTGGTATCCGAGTTCAGAGATCAAGTTAAATCTAAAAATAGTTCTGTTGATAAAATACACAATATAAAAGCCGCCGTGGAAAGTTATGGCGATGCTCCACAGAATTCCAAGGTATTCCGTAACAATAATGAAAGTAAGCAGAATACTTACAACGCAGATGCAATGAAACCGTTGAGGAGACCAGACTTATATACAACGTCTGATAATGATTGTAAGGCAAAATACTCAAAAGATACCTTTAAAATTTCGAAAGAAAACGATCTAACCTCAAAAACAGGCGTGCGCAATTACAGCGGATCATTTTTCCATAGTTGTATCTCGTTTGCAAATCCAACTAATACAATTAAGGCCCAGGAACGCTTAGAGAAAGTTAAACGTGAATTTTCTAAAATGGTCAACATCACTGAAGATTTGCTAAAGAAATCTTGCAGCTATAAATTGAATTTACTACCGGATCCGATTCCAGAGAACAGCTTAACGACTGAAAGAAAAAAATCGAATACAATAGTTAAGGTTTCAAACACCGATACTAAGCATTTAGATGAAAAAACTAAAACAGATTCAGCATCTAGCGATATCCCACAAGATAATGGTCGTATGCATGCGAACAGTTATGAGAAAGACGAATCTAGCAGTAGCAGTATTGAAATTGGAAACATCGATTTTGAAACGGAAAAAATAATTTTACTTCGTGATTGTCGTGAAGATATGAATATAAACAATACAAACAAAAGTGGCATCCGAACAGTAAAGCAAGAAGATAACTGTAGAACAAATTTAATTAATGATAATTTTATAAACGAAGAAAATACGAAAGAAGATTTCGATTTAAAGCTAAATCCTGAAACTGAAAAACTAACCGATGAAATTCTTTTAAGACCTAATAGTTCAAATAAAGAAGAGCAGATAAATTTAAAACTTAAAGACAATGAAACGAGTATTGAAATTAACAATAGCAGTATTGATATGTCTGGCGTAACAAAAACAGATATTTTGAAAGAGGAAAATTACCAAAGTATTTCTGACAAATTAACTTTGGATATCCATAAGAATCAAACAAATTTAATTAATTCATTGCAATTTGGTGACAGTGAAACGAATCGAGACAATGCTATTGTAAGCTCGAAGAACTTAATGAACTGTTTAAACAAACTAACACCTGAACCAGTTATTGTCATAGCTAATAAAAAATCCACATGCTCTGAAATTACCATTGCCACATCCGCATACGGCGAATTTAATAAAAATAAAATAGACTTATTTGAAAAACTCGATAGCGAATGCGGTACAGGATCGGAATGCTCTTTCGAAATACGCGGTCGGGCATCTCAAGTGATCCACATTACCGATTTGACGAATTCACTCGAAGATCTATCTCGCTTGGACAAAATTTGCAAGATTATCGAAATATCAGATGAACTATCCGATAAACTGTTTTCAGCATTGGACAGTGGAGATGTCGAAACTCTAAAACGAAAGAAGTGGTCGTTCAAAGATTTGTGTGATAAAATTCAACTAGATGAATTTTGTACTAATGTATTCGGAAAATCAATTATGTAATATATTTTTAATTAAATAAATGAACAATCCAAATTCCCATAAGTTCACAGTAGGTATAATGATTGATATCTTTAATAGTATGGGCTGTTTTATCGTTTCATATTATTATAATAGATATTATATAAAGGTATATGTAGACATATTGTTTAAATAATCGACGACACATTTTCACTTCAGTGGGCGACACCGCAAATATAGCACAAAGCAGATTTGTCGAAATCTTAACAGTCTTAAATTAAGGGTGAATTTAGCGTAACATGTGCTAATTTCAGCATGAGCATGTCAAAGCTGTACCAAGTAAAATCTCTATCGCTTCAATAATCCACGTCCGAGCCTCGGCTGAGACAAAACTCAACCGAAGTACGCAGAGGAAGAGCATCGCGTATCGCCAGTAACAAAAACTAAAATCATAAATATTATTCACAACAACAATATGGGTTTAAGGCGTAAATAAAAAAACATTTCACAATTATAAAGTTTACAGATCTTTACATTTTAAAGAACAACATTTATTGGTATTCCATATTTTTAAAGGTGAATTTAATTTATTTATTTATTTGAATTTTATTAATTTTATTTGTATTTTCAGGTACAGTAACAATCTTAATGAATTTTATTGTATTCATTTATTTAAAAAAGTGAAAAAGACAAATGAACTCATTATCCTCGTAGTAAAATATCAGTATTACTTAAAATTAGAGAAAAGTACACTTGAAAATATCACATTTTTATAGGATATATAAAAGGCCGCTTATTCTAAGTCATTATTTAAAAAAACATACAGTACACAGTTTTTATAAAATCATATAAAAAAGGATATACAAATTTATACATAAAGTATATTAAGTATGTTGATATGTTATAAAAATATAAACTTATTTATTTCAGATCTTGTCAGATTCAGTTTTTAACTATTACTTCTATAAAACATTAAGTATTTTATTATGGGTACACCACAAATTTTTATTAGTAAATATACCATTTGTAAACACATTATGATCACATAAAATGTAATATGACCTGAATCATTCATTAAAACTAATTAACTGCCAATACATATATCTTTTAAAATTAGAACAAGAAACCGTGTTTTGTGTACTAGTCACATTATAAAATATAATCTCATTGCTATTTCCCGCATGAAGTTGTGCATAGTATTACTGAATAGTTATTTTATTTTATTTATTTTGCATAAACTAAACTATGCTTTTGTGTTCGCTATTATCGATAAGGCCACAATATATTGCACTTTTTTATTTTTTTATTAATTAAACTAGGCCACGCATCGCTGTTAATATCGTTAAATAAATTTTCGTACTTCGATTGTACTATGAAAAAGATCCACTGAGTTTCTCGCCGGATCTTCTCAGTGGGTCGCGTTTCCGATCCGGTGGTAGATTCTGCGAAGCACTGCTCTTGCTAGGGCTAGTGTTAGCAAATACTATCAGGTTGAGTTCATGAGCTCACAATACCAAACAGCGTGTGGCTGAAATAGTCTCTCGGTGCTAGCGGTGATTAGGCAGGAAAAAAAAATCCCTAATTAAAAATATGTTTATACTATTTCAAGATTGACCACTGTGTTGCAAAATATGAATAAATACAATATTTAAAATACGAACATTCAGGTCTGTTTTATAACTATTATTTGTATTATTATATAAAGGGTTTAAATGGACGCTTTCACGTAACTTGAATGCAATGAGTTAATTTACGGAGTTAGGTACACATAATAAAATGACAATTCAATTATTTTATTGCTCACTCTCCTGATTGGAATTCACCAAATGATTCATTCTATTTATTATCAATTTTTAGTTTATTGCAAAAAGTGCTTTAGTGTTGGCACTTTACAATTTTCTGAAGTTCAGATGTGATTTTAACAGTTTTTGGATCGTCGCTTTCTAAAGTTGTTTCAATACACTCGCTATGTAACAAATATGTAACAATCTATTCTACATTATATCAAGTGGTGAGGGCTATTTGGTTTAAGCAACATTTCGCTTAATACAAATTTATCTTTGTAACTAAAAGTCTGTTTTATTGGCATTAGTATCAACAATTCAATGTTTTTAATTGAACTTCAATAAGTTTACCCCATTCAAATAGCTAAAGTAATTTTTTTTTTTGTTATATTTTTTAAAACATTTAACCTTTAAATGGCTCTCCTGTATAGTTGCAAAAATGTCACTTAAACCAAATACCATTTCACCCGTCGATATGTGTACATGTATGTGGTTGTAGTCAAAGGAATGATTTAAATAACATAGTCAAATCGACTCATCGTATCCATCAACGGAAGTCAAAATATAATAATTTTTACGTTCATCGTAAAATAAAATTGAGATTAATTTTATATCTATTCGTTGGTGTGATAAAGGACATCTGTGTTTCTCAACAACTTCATGTTCAACTGTATTATAGTTTTTGAGAATATCGAGTCATTGATGTCAACGAAGTCTGCAATGACTACGTTGACGGGCGCCCGCGAGAACGTCGCGTTGTCCGGTGCCGGAGGTCCGGGAGAGAAATCAGATAATTTTGGTAACACATCGTTGATGACCGGCAATGCGCATTTATCGCGGAGACTTGATATCCATCTGTAATGTTTTGGGTAAATAAAGTTCTTAAATAGTAAATATAGTTCTCGATTTTTTTTTATATATATATATACACTAGCTGACCCGGCAGTCTTTGTAGTGCCTCATTCGATAAATAAAATTGTATAAAATAAACTTAAAACAAACAAAAGGAATCCAACCGACGGGGGACACATCAAAGGGAAAACAAAATTATTATTTTTATTTAATTCCGAGCATTTTCATATTTATCTACCTTTTAAACCTTCTCTGGACTTCCACAAATAATTCAAGACCAAAATTAGCCAAATGGGTCCAGCCTTCGCGAGTTTTAGCGAGACTAACGAACAGCAATTCATTTTATATCTAAAATTAGGCCTGCCGCACGCACACATTCTTATTTGGTTAGTGGAAAGAATTCAGCCTGACCAAATAGATGATATCATATGTGCTGAGATTCCTGATTATGAAGTCGATCCAGACCTACATGATGTTGTTACTACTAATATGATTCATGGACCGTGTGGTGCCATCAATCCCCAATCACCTTGCATGGTCGATGGAAAGTGCTCTAAACGATATCNGTTTTTCCCATGGTCAATTATACGTGGCATGTTCACGGGTCGGAAGACCATCTGCGTTGTTTGTTTTTGCGCCTGATAATAAAACAAAAAATGTCGTGTATCACAAGGTACTTAAATGAAGAGCAACCTATGTACTAAAATACAGAAATAATTATGAATGATTGATGTAGAAATTTAATTTTTTTTGTATTTTTTCCAATAAAAAAAAAATCTGCTTATTTATTGACATTAAGGCGGAACAAAGTTCGCCGGGTCAGCTAGTATATAGATATATATATTTTACTGTGCGTGTGTTTGTCACTGAACTCCTCCTAAGCGGCTGGACCGAATGATTTTTTATGTATGCATTTGGGTGGCGCCCTGTATGGTTTAGATTCACAAATCAGCCCGTCAGATGGCGCTGCAGTCGATATATAAGTTATTTATCTTCCCTAGAAATAATTTATATGGCAAAACAACGTTTGTCGGATCAGCTAGTATATAAATAGTCTGGCAACACTAAAACGGTTTGAAGTTTATAAATGGTCGCAGATAAACTGTATACTTTATCGTGACATGTATACACGCACAATATGTAAGGGCGTAGCTGGAATAGCCGCTTAAGCTGCCAGCGAATAGGTAGGGAAAAAAACCACAGAGTAAAATAGATGCAGTAACGACAGACTCGTTATGTACCTGAGCACGATGAAGGCCGGCGTGGGCGTGAGCACGGCCTGGTGCACGAAGCCGGCGCTCGGGTGCCGACACAGCGCGCCCAGGAACGCGAGCAGCCCCGGCGCGCGGTCCTGGCGCGGCCACGGCGACGGCAACGTCTGCGGCGGCCAGAACTCGCCCGTCGCGTACACAGACTCGTGGCGGTACACCACAATCACCTACGAACGTGAGCTCTGTTTAAATCGTCGCGGCCTAAAGGAGAAAACGCACGGTGTACACGTACCTTTTTTTTCCCACTGAGAAGATCCGACGAGAAACTCAGTAGGCTGTGTCTATGGGTTAATTCGCTCGTCGAGCCCTTCGTCGCAAGCGACGGGTTCGACAAGGACGGTGACCGGGACACGTACTTATTGTCAGTTCTTATACTGGCAAAGTTACCCCGCTCTCAATATAACATTGGCCCACATTTTTTTTGTCAATTTTGTGAGATTTGCACTCTATGCTCATGCAAAACCATTTAAGATTACAAAAAAAATTTCAATTGTAAACGTTTAAAACCCACGGAAAATCCATATATTTTTTATTAATATGCAGTAAAACTAAGACAATACATACAAAATTGTTCGCATTGCGGGACAAGGTTATCCAGATGGACGGTATAAGGTTTTGCCAAATTGGGGGGTGGGGTGGCATTTAATTTTGTCAACAGCTGCCTGAGCGCGTCCGAAAGAGACCTAGCAACTCGAGGGCAGCTTCTTCGCGAATGCATCGACTACCCGACGAGAAACTCAGCGGGCTGTTATAGGTTTTGCATCGAGCTCTTCGACGAATTCAACGAGTACGGTTACGGTGGAACGTTTGCCTACATTTGCCGCTAGGGGCGCTGTTCCAACTGCGTACAAATTTGAGTTAACTTTTACGCTCTCGAGAACGTTAAAAAACTCGCACTAAGCACACTAGACTATGCCTGTGTTAGTGGATCGGGTAGATCTTTAAACAGGTGTCTAGGGGCTTCAAAAGTCATTCGGGAACCAAGTGTTCACGATTAACTTCTATGCCTTCATCGTGACATGTAATAAAACCAGTTAGTTGCAGCAAGATTGCCGATGTCCATGAGAGACAGCGAGTAATGAAGATCTGGAGCGTAAGCTTTTTTTTTAATTTTTATTGCGTGAACGAGGTCACGTCCCACCTGGTGTTAAGTGGTTACCGGAGCCCATAGACATAACAACATGAGCCGCCGTACACCTTGAGACGTGATTGATTTTACCTCAGATCAGCCTCAATTGTATTATATAGCGGCTGTCCCACTCAAGCAGGAATGCATGACTACTTTATGGTCGAGATAGATAATATAGGCGTATCAACCTGTACGGGTTCACAACATATACTACCAGAAAAATGTATACTTGTATTATATTATAATAAGACACTCACTTGCTGCTTTAGTCGTTGTAGAGCATTCAGAGTAACAGCCTTCAAATCTAGCTGCCGTGGTACCAATATGGGACCGTACATATTGAGGAGGAGCCTCATAAATCTCTGGTGATCTTCAGGTTGGAAGCCATAGAAATGTTGGCAGTCAAGTATCACTACCTGAAATTTTTGTTGAGAATATTTTATAGATGATGATAGCAAAGTAATCTTTTTACCTTTATATCACATTTACAAAAGAAACGTTTAGAGAGTTCCTTCCTGCGTTGTTTATTCGATTTAGTTGAAATTTTGTGCAGTTGTTAGTGATGAGGTGTCGTCATGTTGGAATGAACAATGATGGATATAAAAATGGAATGGAATCCAATCGGCAATTTGAGAAATGTGGTAGAGTAAATTTTACATTTAAATATTACCTCTCCAGGATGTTCATCAACAAACTCTTTGACTTGCTTCAGTGCCTCTGTTATTTCAGCAGCGTAAACACCATGTGTGAAATAAAAATTGTCTTCACCAGATTTTGTAGCGATCCTAAGGTCTAAATATCTGAAAAAGCATAATAGAGAATTAACTGACTTTCGTTATTATTTTTGTTATATAGATTGATGAACACGCTGAAGGCTAATCTGGTGTAAAGTGGGTTTAAAAAATTCTACATTAGATTTTTTATGTAATATTTTAAAGTCAGCATGTGCCTTTTCTAATCTGTGGACATTTCAAAGCAAACATTGGGTAAAGCATATGGAATATATTAATTAATTTCATTTCATTATTGATTTTTATGGTGCCTTTTGTTAATAACAGTATAGTAGATAGTATGATGTATGTAATAATCTTATAAAGAAATATTGCTGAAATTGCCAAAATCAACCACACTTCATTAATTACAAAGAGCTACAGCGTGTTGCAAAATGAAATAATGAATTAATCTTGTGTTGTGCAAGCTTTTACAAATGAGGTGCGATGAAAAACAACTGTAAAGATTTCTGTGTCCATTACTATCCATTTTGTTCTCATGACATCTTTTGTCAATACATAGATAATTTCAGCTGTATACTTCCTAAGATGCTTCTTAAGGGCTATTAGATAACATTTATGTTACTAACACCTACACCTATACAACTATAACATTAATGCATTTGTTTTGGGATAATTGTGGCCTAAATTATAAGACACCCAGAATACTTGAGTCAATTGATGCTACTATACCAGTGTTTAAATTCTACAGGCACCCATTGTTCTAGTGAAATATGTACTTAACACATATTAATGAATGATTTACACAATGATAGAATAATAATGTGTATTAAAAATGAAACCCACAAAAATTATAGTTTGTCTATTTACTAGTGTTACAAGCCTCATGAGGGCACATGGATAATTACATTAATTACTGCCACATCTTTTTACTGTGCAGTAGCATTCTGGCTTAAAGAGTGGGACAAATAATATACTATACAATTGAGGTTTCAACCAATATCTCGAGATAGTAAGTGATCTCATTCAGGTTATGATTTCTATGAGTTCTGGTAACCACATAACATCAGCTGGCCATTCACCTGTCTAAGCAATTATTAACAATAATTTAACTAGATTTTGCACTAAATAAAATCTATACTTAATTTTCATATAAGTGCAAAAAGCCAGAGTACATAGAACTTAGTAATGTTAATTTTAATGTACCTAATGCCAATAAGTAGTTGTTGCTTGGTGTCAAGAGCTTGTGTTATTGTCCATCGTAAGATCGTACCTCGGAATAAGGGGTACAAGCGATGAAGAATAGGTTCAGCGTCAGGTGCTAGGCCACTAGATTTTGTGATGCCGTAGGTCATTGAATCATGACTGCCTGTAAGTATTAGTTATGATTTTATAGTATGTTTATTAGCAACATTATGTTAACATGCACTTTTCTGTAGATACTAGTCATTAGGGACCCTACTCTTTTTTTTTTTTAATGGCAATCTACCAATACTTTCAGCAATTTCTGCCAGTGTCGTGTTATGGCTACACATGGAACATTGTCGAGCTATTTAAACACACTTTATGTTATGAAAAGTATCAAATTTTGGCAATAATAATGGTGCCTGGGACTAACACAAAATTAATGTTACTTTAAACTTACATATTAAATAAAAATTATGTACAGAGAATAATGCACTACATATAATAATAATTTTATAGAGTTAGTATTTATAAACTTAATAAAAGCACTTATAATACAGGGGGATCCTATTCTTCTTCTTTCCCCTATTCCTATGAAGGTCAGTGTGACTTGTTTTCTTTTTCAATGTAGGCCTATCATATGTCATCTATGCATAGCACAGAATCCAACCAAGATTTTTTAAAATACTCCCTCTTTACATTATTAGGTATATTTTGTTTTAATTCTTATTCAATAGTTTGTATGAAGTAGTACATTGAGTAACACAATATTTTAACTTCATAGCTCAATAAGTAGATGGCAGCATTCATGTTGTGCTTTAGGGACACCACTAAATAAGTGAAGATAAGGCTATAAATTTACTATCTAGTCATAAACACAAAAAAGAACAAAGACATCATAAGCCAAAAGGAATATCAACAAATCCTACAAAATGAATATCTTTAACAGATACTGACCAAAATCTCAAATCAAACCAAACTCCTTTAGTACTATTAAATTACATGACTACTGACTGACTCACTATTGTCAGGGCCCCTAATCACTAGACAAAGTTAGCAATTAAATATCAATAGGCAGTCAATGAATGTTCAGTATATTTTGTTCAGTTTTGTAAACATTATATAAATACATAAATTAAATTGCAAATAAGGCTTTTTAAACTATATTTCTATTTCCTAAAAGTTAACACATAAATGGTTAAAATGACAAACTCACCAGGTATGGCTAAGTAGATTATTGGTATATCCTTCAGCTGTATTGGTAGATCTCTCATCCATGATTCAAGACGAAAGTTTTGCGCCGCTCCATCCTCACTCATTGTTATAGCTACAATAACAAAGACCATTTAAATGTTTTGTAAATGAACAGAGATATCAAATAAATCTATCAATAACATTGTGATTACCGCGTCGTCTTGAAGAGATCAATTATTAAAGGGCTTGCTACGAGAGCCAGAACGAGGTCAAAGAAACAAAGTAGATGCCTGGAATGTCGTCATAAATCTAGTTTGTACCAAAGTTCATCGACTTAGAGCTTTACAAGGCTGGGCTTTTATTACTATTGTGGGTCTATGATCTGTCATGTCACGATGTAATTCACATTTCATTGTTAAAGTAATCATGATCGTAAAAAATATTTAAAAAACTAAATAAGATTGTAAAATAACTTCTAATAAAAGTTTGTTTTGTTGGAAATGGAATAAAAAAATATTCAAAAGTCAAAACGAAACATTATAATAATTTTCAAAGTGTTACTATCAGCTGTTGAAACGGCTGGGAATACGGACTTTTTAAATTAGTAGGCTAACAAATGAAAAGGAGCTCCAAATTTAAAACTGTCAATGTCTGCGTTTTGATTTTGCAGTTTTTGGTGGAAGACAAAACGTTTTATTTCAGATTAGATGCATGACAACCATAGTGAATTTCCCGTGACATTGTAGTGGTGAGTGGTCAACGCACCCTTCAAGATTATTAAATTTAAATAAACGTTTCATAGTTAGCATTATTGAGAAATGCCTTAATAATAGAGTGGGGTCCTAAAACACAATCCAATGCAAAAATCAATCAAAATGATGAATATAAAAAGTACTTTTCTCAGCAAACTTTTTTAAATTCACTTCTCAGAATTTTACTACTTCGTTTTTTAAGTATACTTTTGATATTTTTTTATATTGTGGTAAACGCTTCGGTTAACAACAGTAATACTAAATTATATTTAATGTTATTTTAAAATAATGGTCATTATTTTTTATTTAATATAATTTAAGCTTACCTATAAAAACAAGCATATCTTGAATTTTCATCTCACACAAACGAATAGAACTGACACAAAGAAACAGCTAGGTGGGTACTCCAGCAGATATTATATTATTAGTTCATATCCTTGGTGGATAATTAGATAATACACGTAACACACGCATCGAGCTGTTAAACTAAAGTGAATCTATTAAACATCTCAATGTGAATAATCTCACTACTAACAAATGCAAAAAGCAGTTTAGATTCTACTATGTTTAGTTTCTAAGCCGACGGACTGAATGGTGTGATTGTTTTGTTTTGACCAACGCACCGGCTAGATGTCCACCAGATAAGGTGAAAGGAATTAAAAAACTTATAAGTAGATTAGTAGGCTTATTTGGAACTAGCCTTGAGTGTTTTTTTGTGATTTATATTGTAATTTTTTTTATTTAGCTTTGTCATGTTTGAATTTATTAAAAATACTGTCTGTGTTGTCTCTCGATAAGTATCTACTTTTACAATGGTTGAAAATAAACAGTTGTACGTTCACGTATTATATTGTCTCTAAAATGAAGCGCTTTAAGCTAATAAGTAAAATGCTTAGGACGTCCGATATAGTCATAACGTGTGTTGACTGTGAAAGGAAATGCGATCACGAAACTATGTCGAGTAATGAAATGAATCTCTCAAGACATTAAATTTGGGTAACCATATTTAAATACGGACAATACGCATGATGGGCCCACGCAGGTTGTCACGATAGGCCTACCTTTCTAGCAAAGCGATCCTGGTGGTGAAATAGCTGTTTTTCCGATATATTTGAGGTAATCACTTGACATCTCAAAAAAAGAAGCGCGGTTCACGTCGTGATTGTGGTTAGGTATTTGCTAAAGTTAATTGGCTCTGTAAACACAATATAATTTTAATTAATTTTGATCAAGTTATTGGCAGAGGACCCAAAACTGCCGTCACGTGTTTCGGGCATTTTTTTATGTTTGTGTAATATTTTCTCTTTGTGTATTTTTTTCGAGGTACACGTTGCTTTAGAATAATTATACTTATTATATTAGAAATTCTTCGTGCAAATGCAAGAAAGGTCTGGATCTTGTATGTTATTAATAGAACTTAACATGTTCTTTTTCAGGCACACAGAACATCCCTTTGATATTATGAATTTAAATCTGTATTGCGATCACTGATGTTTTAAAATAAATCTTTTATCAAACCATATCCATTTTCTTACAATAGGAAGAGGAAAGCAAGCAAACATCTATACATATAAATAAAATTGGAGTGTCTGTTTGTAATATTGAAATAACCGCTTTTACTACATGCATATAAATATACATATATATACGGTACATACACCAAAATAACATTTTTTACAATTTTTGTCTGTCTGTTTGTCTGTCTGTCTGTCTGTCTGTCTGTCTGTCTGTTTGTTCCGGCTAATCTCTGGAACGGCTGGACCGATTTTGACGAGATTTTCACTGATAGGTAGCTGATGATATAAGGAGTAGCTTAGGCTTTTTTAAGACTAGCTTCGCCCCGAGGCGTCACCCGCGGTACGACAATAACCGCGGGTAACATCGCGGGACTCAGCTATCAATAATAAAATTTAATGTTTTCCGAAGCGAAGCGAGGGCGGGTCGCTAGTCGTAATTAAATCTTGATCATAATGGAGAATGGACAAAAATATACGGAGCTTAGTACAATTACTTCTTGGATACCCACTGTAACCAATCAACAAGCTAGGTTTATAGAGATGAGTGTAAAACCTCATTAAATTACATCGCACAGTTTTTCAGACTTTTCTTTTTATAAATTCAACGTCTGAAATATGGTAATATTTATCATGAAAACTAAACCAGAAAAAGTTAACTTAGTTCAGGGTTCTGGATAACAATAATACACAGATCTGACAGATTGCTAATCTGATTTGCAAGATTTATGGCCGTTATGAATGCGCACGGATTTCACCGGTCATCGTTCTCGTCGAACCCGTCGCTTGCAACGAAGGGCTCGACGAGTAAATTACTAGGCTGCACTAAAAGTATCGGGAATGGAATATTTCCACTGTTCCTGTCATATTAAAATCTTTTTAATTGAAAACTCCTTGGTTTTAAAAATCGAATACCATTTATTTATTTAAAAAAAGATTCTCGGTCTTGTTACGAGGTTTTGTCAAACTTGTTTAGTCGTTGAGAAAATGGAATTGACTCGAGAAAATTCAAGAGCGATGATTTATTATGACTTTCGAAGTGGTTTAACACAAAAACAGTGTGTTGACCGGATGATTTCTGCATTTGGTGATGAAGCCCCATCCAAAACCACAATTTATCGCTGGTTTGCTGAGTTTCAACGTGGACGTGTCAAGCTCAGTGATGATCCCCGTCAAGGTCGTCCAAAAACTGCAGTCACCCAAGAAAACGTTGATGCTGTGCGTAAGCTGATTGAGGAAGATCGACATGTGACATACCGCGAAATTCAGGCAACTTTAGACATTGGCATGAGTCAAATACAAATAATCTTGCATGAACAATTAGGTGTAAAAAAGTTGTTTTCCCGATGGATACCGCATTCGCTCTGTGAAGAGCAAAAAGCGGCTCGCGTTACTTGGTGCGTCAGAACTCTCGAAAGATTCCACGCAGGATCCTCAAATGCTGTATACAACATTGTATCAGGTGACGAATCCTGGATATACGCGTACGAACCCGAAACAAAAAACCAGTCACGAGTTTGGGTGTTCGAAAATGAGTTAAAGCCAACAAAAATTGTTCGTTCACGGAGTGTTGCAAAAAAAATGGTGGCCACGTTTGTCTCCAAAACCGGCCATGTTACGACTATTCCTCTTGAGGGACAAAGAACGGTTAATGCAGAATGGTATGCTAGCATTTGTTTGCCACAGGTCGTTTCTGAACTCCGTAAAGAGAACTGCAACCGCCGCATCATCCTCCATCACGACAATGCGAGTTCTCACACCGCGCACAGAACAAAAGAGTTTTTAGAGCAAGAAAACATAGAATTATTAGACCATCCGCCGTACAGCCCCGACCTAAGCCCAAATGATTGCTATACTTTCCCTAAAATAAAGAATAAATTGTGTGGACAGAGATTTTCATCACCTGAAGAAGCTGTGGACGCCTACAAAACGGCCATTTTGGAGACCCCAACTTCCGAATGGAATGGTTGCTTCAATGATTGGTTCCATCGTATGGAAAAATGTGTCAAATTTCGCGGCGAATACTTCGAAAAGCAATAAATACATTTTTAAATAGTAATGTTGTGTCACTTCGTTAATTCCCGAAATTTTCAGTGCCGCCCTCGTAACCCTCAGACACAGCCCACTGAGTTTTTCGCCGGATCTTCTCAGTGGGTCGCGTTTCCGATCCGGTGGTAGATTAGCACGGCTCTTCCTAGGGTTCGTGTTAGCAACGTCATCAGGTTTGAGCCCCGTGAGCTCACCTACTAGTTAAGGCGACGCTGATATAGCCTTTCAAGGCTATAAGCATAGGTAGGAAAAAAACGGATTTCACCTCCTGTCGATCTAAGATTATGTTGGATTATGTGAAGATTATTTATAAATGCGAGTATGGAAATTCTTGTGTGCCTTGATTTTAATCTGTCTTTCAATAGCCATAAGTCATTGCCGAGTATATACTAGCTATTTAAAATATCGTACAGATTTTAGGCGTAAAATAAAATTTCAATTTTTTCTAATAGTAATTCTAGTAATAATTTCATATTTCAAAATGGTGTTCTAACGCGCTTTAATTCAACCCTGGGAATAAGCTTTTGAGATGTTTGCCCAGTTTACGCAATCTCTTTGACTACTATATATATAAACATTTTTTTGCAACAAATAAATACATATATAATAAAAGGTTTATTACGAGTTAAATTCAAAAAGTAATTCGTTTATGTATTTTTAAACTACTTAGTTTTTTGAAAGCCATTTTAGCAGTAGCAGTAATAGCTGTCTACTAAGCAAAAGCACTGACCAAAGGTAGTCAATGATATTGTCGGTATAAATATAAAATTCTAAATTCTAACACCCTGTATTACATAAAAATGAGGTTGTAGTAGGTAATATTCATATTCGTGTTTAAGCAGCTAGTGTTGTCGGTCAGTGTGCTAAGGTTAGATATCTAGAGGTTATTAAATATTAGATTAAATGTGGGGTATGAATAAAATTTGATTCGTGCTCGACTAGACGTAAATGTGAACTTTAATAAGATTTTTTCATCTGTCGTGAACTTTCTCATTACTGAATAAGAAAATTATTTGCATACATTTTAGTACTCCAAAATTACTTCTTATGTTATATCCCAAATGGGTATGCACGTGTAGCTATGTATGATTTACCATCATCATTAATTATTTAGTTTTAGATAATTACATAGTTGAATAAGTTACAATTTTGGTAACATTCTTCTTCTCAATCGTTTCACTCTTGACAGAGTGATCGTGGTCGTCATGTAGTGTTGGAGGGTCAGACTTGAGGCGTCTCACGTGTCTCTCATCTCTTCCTACTCGAGGTCATCCTACTGCACCCATTTAGAGGACCTCCGAGTCCTCCGACTGTAGATATAATGTGGTCGATCCACCGTATTGGCGACCTCCCGCACGGTCTTGTGCCATGCATCCTTCCTAGTATGAGCATGTTCAAGGGTATCTAATTATAAAATATATAAAAAGTATCTAAACATATCCTGTTTAGTGGAGTCAACTTATTAAAGGCAAATAAAAGTAGGTATGTGTTTCGAAAATCTATCTCATATATTCCTCGGTGACTTTAATTGATTGAATTTTGCATGTTAAAGTGCGGGATTAGGATAGGCTTCGATTGCATCAATTTCGGATATGCCAACAAACGAAGCACACGTGTTTCTTCTACAAAAACCAATAGTTTGTTTATTTACTCTCGGTTCTGATAAAAGTTGAATCAAGTTTTGTAAATTATAAATCTTTCACTAGAATATGGAGTTGGTATGTACGTATGTTGTGACTTGATGAGTGAACGGTTAGGAAATGATTGTAGGTAGAGGGAGCTCGTGCCAAAACATTCCCCCCGCACTCTGATGACGTCACACGAACGTACCCGAACAAGAATCGATGTCAGCCGAAGCCAGTCTGCCTTCGTCCATTTACCTTCTCATAGCTTGGGTCGCTTTCGAGTTTCGCCACGCTGCGGCCGCCGTCTAGCATATTGAATATTGAGCAGTGGCAAACGAAATAATCAACGGTTATTTTCCGAGCGAGATTATTGTGCGAAAATAAACAAATAAACGATAATATAAATCAATATAGTTTCGCGTTTATATTGTAACAATGCGTAAAATACGTTCAGGGGTGAAGTAAGCCCACGGAGAGAGCTGCACTCGTACCAGTTTGGAAAGCAATACGGAGACTACAACTGATTGCACGAAGCCGTACACCCGCTGTGTCGTGTTCCCTGTGAGATGTTGGGCCAGAGTTTCGGTTGATAAATTGAAGTCTGACGTTTTTTGGGACTTTAATCGAATGTGTATTGAAACGTTCACCGCTATACACGGGCGCACTACTATGCGCCACGATTTAGTGCATTTTATAAGGCACACATCTTCTGATCACTACTGCGAAGGAAGAATTTAGTCACTCGAGCAGGTAAGCTCACAATAAAACTTATGCTGTTACCTGATAACGTTTATTATCTGAAATAAATTAGACGCGTGCGACGTGCCTGTGTAGTCGTTTTTTTATTACCTAAATTTTATTATGTACATTATTATCAGCAGCCGTTACAATATCCGTATTACCAATAAAGCGTTTTAAGTGCTTTTGTAATGACTATATATAAAGATTAGTCACATAACGATAAGCACATAACAGCGAAGGAAGCATTGAAAAAAAATATTAAACATCTACTTCATTAAAATATAATGATATGGTAAATTATATAAAACGAATATGTCGAATAGCTGCTTAATTTACTCTTAAGAAAAATAAACTTGAGTTCCAACAACAAAGAGCGTGATATATTCTTGTCCCGTCAACCTTGTAGGTTCATGCTCTGTTTGGTTCGTATTAAATAATAAAGATCCACAACTACCATATTGTGTTATTCTAGTGTAAACTTAATATCAAAGGCTCAAGGAGGTCTGAATAACCCCAAAAAACAATAGGGATGTACAATTAAGTTCCAAACCAGGTATTTACTTATAGGCAAAAGGATTGAATGTTTTCTTCAGCGTGTACCTCCTTCTAGCGAAAATACAAATAGGAATGTTTTTTTTTTATTACCGTTAAAACTGATAATTATTTAAATTTAGCTAAAACACGAAATCCAAGACACGACAGAATAAATAACGAAATCTTGAAAGTTGGTTGAAACCAGTTTTTACTAGTTTTTAGTTGATTAAATATTTCATAAGAATATAAATAATGAACTTTGGATTGTGAAGACAACCAAAATATTTAATTTGATTTTATACATGTTTCGTTTAAGGTGCTGATTAATCTTTAAAATGGTTTCTGCTTTGATCAGATAATTGTAATAGAAATTATTATCTATACGTTCAACCACGACATCATATTTAATATCGATAAACATACATGTGTTCAAAACCAACTCATCTCCTGTAGAAACGGTAATTTTGAAGTCGTCGTGGCCTGATAAGACGTCCGGTGCATTCGTGTTGAGTGATGCACCAGTGTTCGAATCCCAGGCGGTTACCAATTTTTCTAATGAAATACGTATGCAACAAATGTTCACGTTTGACTTCCGCGGTGAAGGAATAACATCGTGTAATAAAAATCCAACCCGCAAAATTATAATTTGCGTAATTACTGGTGGTAGGAACTCTTGTGAGTCCGCGCGGGTAGGTACCACCGCCCTGCCTATTTCTGCCGTGAAGCAGTAATGCGTTTCGGTTTGAAGAGTAGGGCAGTCGTTGTGACGAACCCAAACGTAACTCAATAGTAAATTTGACATCAAATGTCCAACAATTTATTTCAAGTGCGTTGTCACCGCATTGAGAATATAATGGTAAACACTCGACTTCGTCCTAACTACGTCATTTCGGATCCTCCCGATCCACTAACGGTGATTTTTGATACCTCAAGCACCGGTCACCGTTCTCGTCAAACCCATCGCTTGCAACGAATGGTTCAATGAGTAAACTAACCCAGACACAGCCCACTGAGTTTCTCGCCGGATCTTCTCAGTGCGTCGCGTTTCCAATCCCGTGGTAGATTTTGCGAAGCACTCCTGCTGCTAAGGCGAGTTTTAGCAACACCCCCTGGGATGAGCCCCGAGAGCTCACCTACACGTTAGATTACGCTGGTATAGCCTTTCAATGGCTACCAATATAGGTAGGGAAAACAAGATAATATGTTGTAGACAAACTGATTGAATTCGAGAGTTAATTACCTACTATTACTGTCGATGTCAATTTACACATTGCTGATTCCGTGCGTACACAATTCTTTTTTACTTAGATGACCGGATCAAGTGGCCATTGTTACTTGGGTGATGTGAATATCACCGTTCATCTCAAGATATGGGGTTGAGGAGTACTCCAATTCAAGGTTTGGTTAGTAAACCAAACCATTAAAACCAAACGTACGTTCTCCGATTTTCAAATACCACATTGAAACACGTTTTGGTGATTTGATCTGTCCAATGGCAGAGCTCGGTTTTATAATGACGAGTGAGGCAACTGTGCAAACTATGCAAGTAAAACAATAATTTACATGTGGTGTATTAATGTCTTCCACAGAGGTCCACCCACTTAGTTTCTCGTCGGATCTTCTTATTGGGTCGCGATTCTAATCCGATGGTAGATTTTGCAAAGTTCTTGGTAGGGCTAGTGTTAGTAAATTATCTCAGGTTGAGCCCTTGATTGAGCTCACCTACCCGTCCGCGCTTAACTGGAATAGCCCCTTAGGCCACCAGCGAATAGCTAGCTTAATCATTAAACCCACAAACCATTCGCAAGGTTTTTTATTTTTATTTTATTTTTATTGCTTAGATGGGTGGACGAGCTCACAGCCCACCTGGTGTTAAGTGGTTACTGGAGCCCATAGACATCCACAACGTAAATGCGCCACCCACCTTGAGATACAAGTTCTAAGGCCTCAAGTAGGTATAGTTACAACGGCTGCCCCACCCTTCACACCGAAACGCATTACTGCTTCACGGCAGAAATAGGCAGGGTGGTGGTACCCACCCGCACGGACTCATAAGAGGTCCTACCACTAGTAAGTTTAGGTAAGTAAGGTTCGAGTATTTTAACTTTATACGCTATCCATTATACGAAATTACATAATAATTAAGCCGGAACGTATAACTTAATTTTATTTTAATAATTTATTTTTATGGCAAGAAAAAAAACCGGAAACATTCGGGTGCTCTCTGAAATCCAGTCTGTGACTACCTACGTAGCAAACTAAAAATTTAAAACGCATTTGCTACCTACACATATTATTAGGAAGAAAAAAAAACAGCCTAAAACTAGCCCCATTTAAATCAATATCTCTACCTACCTTAAATGTCATTGCACGCCCATCTGGTTCCACAAGTTACCACGGCAAACTCGATTCCGCTTATTTCGTTTGTGGGCAAGATGAAACGTCGACACTCGAAGCATCATTGGAAATTGTGAACATTTAGATAGCTTGATATACTCGTATTTCTTGGTATATGACATAGTGGTATGTCGTCCCAAACTGTTGGACTGTTCGAAGGGGGTTTTCAGGAAAATATTATTTGAGTAATTCTCTTCTTCTTCTTCTGAGTCGGTCTCTTCATTGCTGAAGGTCGTGTCTAGTTTTAAATGTTGATCACTCGATGCACTATGCTTCCCCACGTCTTCCTATTCTCGGTAGTCTTTATATCCTCGGTTATTAACAGGCCGGTGACTGGCTTTACCAGATCAGACCAGCGGGTAGGTGAACGTCCGCGTGATTTTCCCCCGTCGATTCTGACCAAGCTTCTCTAAGTTATTGGGGTCTTTACGAGCGATGTGACCGAAGTACATGAGAATACGTTGGAAGCAGATAGCAAACAGTTCTGTGGTAATACTTATCGAGTTCCTTCAGAATGGATAACTTGGACTGGCGTACAGTCCATGGAATTCGCAACATCCGCTTCCAACACCACATTTCAAAAGCGTCGATCTTTGCTCTCTCACTCTATCTTATTGTTCAGGATTCGACACCATAAAGGAAAATTGGGAAGACCAATGTACGTATCAGCTTCACTTTGGTTTTGTGGAATATATTACGGTCTTTCCATATAAATTTAATCATTTTAGTCAATTTAGTCTGATAAACAAATTCCAAGTTTTGAAATTCATTAGAGCGAATAAGCACACCAGGTCTGTCTACTATCTATACCTTGGTTTTCGCCTTATTAATGGTAAGGCCAATTAATTCACACTCCTCCACCCTAGTAAAGAGTTGGGCTCGTTCTTGCTCGGATGATGCGAACATTGTGGTGTCATCTGCATAACGGAGGTTGCTGATTTTCTTGCCAATGTCAATGCCAATGGATACCCTACCCTCCCAGCCATCTAAGGCTGGCCTCGTAATGTATTCCCCGTAAATATTGAAAAGAATCGGAGACAATATACAACTCTACGGTGTTAGCTTTTTCAGGCTTAAGGGGCTTTAACAGGACGTTGTTGACCTTCGGTTTGCGAAGAACGATGAGGTGCTGGGGTAGCCCCATACCCGTTAGGATATTCGATTGGCATTCTCATTTGACAAAATCGAATGGCTTTGAGTTAGTCAACGTGAAGCATCGCAAGGTTGAACTCACTGCATTCCTCAATAATCTGCCTAACATTCACGATTTGTTCCTATACTGTTGAGTACTATAGAGAAGTTTAAAAAAAAAGCAATGCAATAAATATTGGTTTAAATATAGAACGTACGCTTTTTATAAATAAAAAAATTAGATTTTTTTTTATGTTTGTGATCATTGTCAGAATATTATGCCAATGTGATAAAAAAATACTGTATTGTCATCGGTCCTCGATACAAGTGCAAATCACGTTGGAAGATTCCACGACATGGATAGATACGGGTCAGGCTAATAATGAGAGCGTGTTCAAAGAAACGTAAATAACTCATTTTATCAAGAAAAAAAAAAGTACGATAAAACAATTTTTTATCTTAATTTCAAATCTATTGTCAGTATTTTTTATTTTTTATTTCTTTGATTGGTGGACGAGCTCACAGCCCACCTGGTGTAAAGTGGTTACTGGAGCCCATATACATCTACCACGTAAATGCGCCACCCACCTTGAGATATAAGTTCTAAGGTCCCAGTATAGTTACAACGGCTGCCCCACCCTTCGAACCGAAACGCATTACTGCTTCACGGCGGAAATAGGCGGGGTGGTGGTACCTATCCGTGCGGACTCCCAAGAGGTCCTACCACCAATCGCAAATCTCGTGTTATTTTCATATTCATTTGTTCATTGAGTCGAAAATTAAAGTTTTAGTTTCACGATTCAGTATGTTTTTCAGCGTTTGAAAGTCACACATATCAAAATTACGTTTGCTTGAGACGTAATAGCTGAGTTAGTTCCAATAATCCACAAATAATAACTTAGTGGGCGGTGAAAACAAAACCTATACTTACCAGTACTTGAGACGTATTACTATTTACCACTTCCCCTTAAGTCCCCAGTAACACTTTTTTAGTTTACCCTCCAATTTGCCGTCCACAATAGCCAAAAGGCTTGATGGCACTTACTCGTAGCGTTATATGCCAAGTTAAACTATATATGCTATGCTATGCCTTGTTGTGTGATGCTGTGGGATGTCTACCTCAAAAAATACTAGTACCTCCCCGTCTCCTGTCTTGGTTGTAGTAAAAGACGACGATTCTTCTCTGAATAGACAGCAGCTATCGTTCTCCGAGTGTTATAATAGGAAATGGCGTCGCCAATCCACATGTCAAGAGCCGCGATTATGGTCATCCTATTTTGTTTGGGAGGAGACCTATGTCCAGCAGTGGGCTTCTGTTGGTTGACAATGGCAATTGTTATGCCAACTTCAACATGGAGATGATGTGCAAGGAACAATAATCATAACGAACTCTCGAACGAACCCCTTTGAAAGAATTCAAATGATTTATGTAATATGAAGAAAAAAAAACCCGATAGAAATTAATGTCTTCTTTATAGATCTTTCTTGTCTTGATTGATCAAAATCTCCGATAAATGCACAGAATAAACATAAGTTTGACACCGATGACATAATGATTTAAATTTGGGTTTTTTTTTATTGGCTTTGTAGGCAATAATAGGCTTTGTTTGTTTTTATTGGTTTCTTACTGGTGGTAGGACCTCTTGTGAGTCCGCACGGGTAGGGACCACCGCCCTGCCTATTTCTGCCGTGAAGCAGTAATGCGTTTTGGTTTGAGGGGTGGGGCAGCCGTTGTAACTATACTGAGACCTTAGAACTTATATCTCAAGGTGGGTGGCGCATTTACGTTGTAGATTTCTATGGGCTCCAGTACCCACTTAACACCAGGTGGGCTGTGAGCTCGTCCACCCATCTAAGGGGTAAAAAAGGCAGGCTAGCGTATGGCCCATCCGATGGTAAGTTGTTACCGTCGCTCATGGACGTCAGCAATGCCAGGGACACAGCTAAATCGGTGTCTACCACAATAATTTACTACTTTACAATATAACAACCTACTTAATTCCCTATTGGCTTTCCTCCTGCGATATCAACGTGTTCAGTTCTTTCGATCTAAATTTTACATGACGCTAAGTAGTCTTTGTGTACTTAGTAAGGTAATTATATTATTAAGTGCGAATATAGACACGAGGTGCATTTACGCTTCATAGGCCACAAATGTAGTCCACCACATTTATTGGTCGTTAAGAAATTCTTGACCTATTGATTACGTAACGACGTGTGTGTGTCAGATGAAACCGTTATCTGTGTGTGAATTTTATTTCTGAGTATTGAAGTGAACAGAAGTTTTTTTTTTATTTTTTCTACTTCTACTTCTATTAGTAAAAAAATAACGAACTTTAACGAATTCGTAAGCATGTATTCGAAATTTTCTGACAAAATTAATTTTTTTTTTTTTCTTAGCGTAGTAGGTGAACGAATTATTTTTAAAATGGCAACACTTGTATATTTTATTAAACCACAATATATATTTGGGAAAATGGGGAAAGTTGAAATTTAAAACTCTATTTGTAACTTTGTATGGTGAGCCCACTTTGCCAAGTATCACCAAACTTTTGAAGTCGTCGTGGCCTAACGGATAAGACGTCCGGTGCATTCGTGTTGAAGCGGTGCACCGGTGTTCGAATCCCGCAGGCGGGTACCAATTTTTCTAATGAAATATGTACTCAACAAATGTTCACGATTGACTTCCACGGTGAAGGAATAACATCGTGTAATAAAAATCAAACCCGCAAAATTATAATTTGCGTAATTACTGGTGGTAGGACCTCTTGTGAGTCCGCGCGGATAGGTACCACCGCCCTGCTTATTTCTGCCGTGAAGCAGTAATGCGTTTCGGTTTGAAGGGTGGGGTAGCCGTTGTAACTATACTGAGACTTTAGAACTTGTATCTCAAGGTGGGTGGCGCGTCTACGTTGTAGATGTCTATGGGCTCCAGTAACCACTTAACATCAGGTGGGCTGTGAGCTCGTCCACCCATCTAAGNAAAAAAAAAAAAAAAAAAAAAAACTGCCTGTTGTTGTTAACCCTATTAAAATTTCGTATCAAAGGTTGGTTATGTGGGTGGCGAAATTCGCGTAACGGACTCTTTTAGCTTTAAGGAATCACATAAAACCTGATAGAATCACAATAGGAATCACATAGAATCTGACCTCGGTTGTTAAGTTAAAAAAAACGGAAAGTAGGTACCTACTTAAGTAATACTTTTGTTTTGAATTTCCGAGCATCGAATCAAACGAGCCTTTATCTCTTTGTTCCAGATCTCAATTGATGGCGTTACTTCGTATCCAGAGCGATTGGTACATATATTTTTGGTTGTTATACTGTAAAATCTATTCGGCGATTATATGGTTGTTCGGCAATCACTGCCGTGGAACTGATAAGGCTCGTGCCGTGATAACCAGCGGTATCGGCGGGCAGTCGCTTGGAAGCCTCCATCGAGTTCGCACGCGTCGCAAGAAAACGCAACAGTATCATCGCACGAAACACGTAGTGGCTTTAGCAAGAAGACCCTCGTACAAGAGAATAGTAATGGCGCCCGGAGCTAGCACGGCCCACGCAATGATGGAGGACAAAGAGAAACTTCTAGCACCCGGTGAGATTCGTTTTCTTTTCTTTTAGTATTGTAGTAAATTTGAATGTATGATAATTAATTTGACAGCAAGGTGCGACATGTCTTCGGATTTCAGCTACTGCATATGTTATTACATCTTAAGTTATATCAATTTAAAAATTTTAACAAAAATAATCTCTTCGTATTGTAGTAAAATTGAATGAATTTGAATGTATGATAATTAATTTGACAGCAAGGTGCGAACATGTCTTCGGATTTCAGCTACTGCATTATTATATCTTAAGTTTTTGCAATTTAAAAATTGTAACAAAAAGAGAGGAATTTTGAGGGATCATATTTAGGTGGTTTTTCATTGACAAATAGTGAAGCTTGTTTTTTTAATATATACTTTTTCTATTAAGGCGAGGGTCGGGTAATAAGATTGAAGAAACACAACATAAAACATTCACAATTACTGATTACGGTAATGTAAATAATACACGCTGTGAGGTCGTAACGCGATATCAGTGCCTCCCGTGTCGTCTGTACGGTCACTTACAAAACGATAATGTAAGAAATAAAGTGGGTGTAGTAAGTTTCGACGTCGCCCAAAACATGTCATTACGGATACTCCCGATCCATTAACGGTGCTTTTAGGTACCACAAGCACCGGTCACCGTCCTCGTCGAACCCGTCGCTTGCGACGAAGGGCTCGACGAGCGAATTAACCCATAGACACAGCCCACTGAGTTTCTCGCCGGATCTTCTCAGTGGGTCGCGTTTCCGATCCGGTGGTAGATTCTCTAGGACTCTTGCTAGGGTCAGTGTTAGCATCATTCCGGTTTGAGCCCCGTGAGCTCACCTACTAGTTAAGGTTACGCTGAAATAGCCTCTTAAGGCTTATCAGCTTAGGTAGGAATAAAAAAAAGTGTAGTAAGCCTTCGAGTGAAACCGCGGGTGAAACAAGAAATCCGGCTTCGGCCAACAACAAAGCAATGCTGTATCGACCGATACCCTGACCTTGCATCGGTAATGTCAACATTCAATTATCATTACAACAACTATTCCATTTGACTTCGAAACGGGTTAGTGATTGTCAAGTATTATGAAAATTGCTAATTAATATAGTTCTTGGTGAAATTGAGTCATTTGTTTAAAATCAGATATAATTTAAAATTGTAAAATTTAAAATCTGAAAGAATTTTTTAAGGGATTTTATGACTTGGTAAGACCTTTAGGTTATGTCTTATTTTAATTTATTTATATTCTTATTTTTTATGAAAAACGATAATATGGAGTGAAATGAAGATGATTAATTTGAGACATTAATCAACTGGGATGAAATTAATGAAGTCAGATGAGATGATATGGGATGAAATATAATCTCAGTAAAATGGTGGTCATTTACTGAGATTTTTTCCGATAAACTTTTGGAGGATCTCGAGAAGTTACGTCCAGCGGCTTTGTTTCATTTTCCCACATTTGTGCACTTTCACAGATATTAAACAGTTAATAAACCACCGTTATTACACATTTAAACTTGAAGAAACACTAAATAGACAAAATAAAACAAATCACACAACTTCACTCCTCGCGTTCCCGCCAAAAAGTCCTAAATCTGAAAGAATATTAATCACCCTAGCCTAATTTCACCGTCATACCTATAAGGTAACGCATGCGAAATATGAACACTCCAAAAACAATAGTATACTGACCGGTACACGGTCCAAACAAACAAACAAATGATTTCAATTTGCAAAAGGAAAGAATGAATCACTGTACCCGTTTTAGGTAATTGCGTAAATTGGAATGTTTGCAAACGTAAGTTTTCATACACGTGCTGGTCGTTTAATAAACTTCTTTAACATAAACGCAAGCTTTCAAAATTATAACGTGCGTATTGAAATTAATGCGCGCTTCGTTTCCATAATCGTCATCAAAAATAAAATTCCATTAAATTTGTCCGATGAATTTGTTTTTAGCACGCTTTACTGTTTGTTTGTGAAACCGAATCTTTAAAAGTCATTTTCACGGACTTCAAGATGTCCGATTACCTTGTAAAATTTGCACTCGCATCAAAGATCGATAACAGTAAAAAGGGTAACAATATATAAATATATGCTTAGATCGTTGGACGAGCTCATGGCCCTCGTGGTGTTAAGTGGTAATCGGAGCCCATAGACATCTACAACGTAAGTGCCGCCACTCACATCGAGACATGAGTTCTAAGGTCTCCGTTTTAACAGTACAACGGCTGCCCCACTCTTCAAACCGAAACGCATTACTGCTACACGGCATACATAGGCGGGGTGGTGGTACCTACCCGTGCGGACTTACAAAACGTTCTACCACCAATAAAAATTAATTTTATAACTTCGCTCTAATATTCTGACCAGTATCCGTCCATACCAGGAAAAAAATAAAAATAATTGTTAGTTCGGTTTACTATTTAAATGTTTTTTTTTAATTCCTTAAACTACTTAATATTATATTTTACTTGGAATGGACAAACAAGCTCGTCATCGTGGACGATGTGTTTTATTGTTAATATCCTTCCATGCGAGCTTCCCGTCATAACTGGAAATCGAGGCATATACGTCAGAAAATAAGTATGAAGACTACAAAGGATGGATAGTGGAAGTGTAGGTATTGTCCGTAATCCCATATGTGACAGAAAAATGCCATGGAGCACCTGAACTCCTATTTGGTCTGTTTGAAATGAATCTGACTGCCTCGGGCAAAGGAAACGTCATTCCACAGTTCGAGATATGTTTCAAATAAGTACTTAGTAGTTTGTTCGCCGTATTATCCGTCCAGTTACAATAGTAGTGTCTAAATAAGTTAATTCACGCCAGTTTATTTAAGTACACGAGTGTATTTAGAACAGTGGCATTATGCCAACGTGAAAACCCCTTGTAACCTGAATTTTTAAATTTGTCGCAGAAAAGTTGAAAGTGATATTTATTTACAATATTTTTTTCATGTCCTGAGTCATCGTAATAATATAAATTGTTTTATTTTATTTTATAGATCAATATCATACGATTAACAATGCACTGTAAAAAAATTTAATAACTCAAACGCATTTTTTAAGCGATTTTATGACCTGGTAACTAAGACCTTTAAGTCATGTCTTTTTTTAATTTATATTCTTATTTTTATGAAAAATGATAATATGGAGATAAATGAAATGAAATGAATATGATTAATTTGAGACATTAATCAACTGGGATGAAATTAGATGAAATGAGATGATATGGGATGAAATATAATCTCAGTAAAATGGTGGCTATTTACTGAATTTTTTTTAGTGGACTTTTTAGAGGATCCCGATAAGCCGTCCAGCGGCTTTGTTTCATTTTCCCACATTTGTGCACTTTCACAGATATTAAACAGTTAATAAACAACCGTTATTACACATTTAAACCTGAAGAAACACTAAATAGACAAAATAAAACAAACCACACAACTTTATCCTCGCGTTCCCGCCAAAAAGTCCTCTCAAACTCATTATGACGTCTTGACCACAGATAATGCACTTCTCGGCAACTTTCCCACGCGAGTCGGAAGGAAAGTGTAGACATACATTTTGTAATAGTAAATTGGCGGAAGATTAACGAATCGTTCATCCTCTTCTACGCAAGCATGAAAAAGAGATAAGAGTGACTAGCTTGGTCCCCGCAGATATACTATGGGGTTATGATATTTAAACTACAGAAGTAAATTATTTACTTTTTAATGAAGCTTTTTCATAATTAGGTATTTAATTAGGATTCAACGAAATCAATCACTTGAACTCCTATGGCGCCTATTTTTATAACCAAACTATAAACAAAAATTACGAACAGAAACAAAACTGTTAACTGGCAAAATATTCCTTACTGTTGAAGATAAAAAAGGATACATATATTAAGATCTATATCACAATTTTATTATAAATTCGACATTTATTACTAACATACAATATTTGACCGTGGCCAATGCGTAATATGCGTTACGAAACTATCCATGAAATACACCTAGTAGAATTCTAGTTTATGTATCCGTGTACAAACTGTACTTGCTCTTTGAACGGCGTGGGGGAAAACACCTAAATAAAAACATATAAAGAACAATAAAGGAGCGATTTCCGAAGCCTTTGTTAATAGTAATTGTAAAGCTTAGATTTAAAAAAGATGTATTCTATTTCAAATTATTTGTACAGGCGGTAAGTAGATAACGAATACTTAATCTTTCGATCTTTGTAATTAACACCGATAAAAAAATAGATAAAAAATAATCTTATAAGTGACCCACGTCATTTTACATTTCGCTAAATTGTTTTTTTTTTTAAATATACAGTAACACGTGTATGTACTAGACTTTTCTAGGAAATTCATTCAAACATTCAAACACATCGCTGGCTGGCTACCTACTTCAAAATAATATGTATAAGGTTGCCAAGTATTGAATGAGAAATGAACATTGTCCCATAATTATTAAATGACGTGCTTGCTTTGAATTGCGTAAATGACGCGGACGTGATTGCTTTGAAATCTTCGATCAACAATAGTAACTAGATTTCGGGTCGGTGCATAAAATCCGTCTCGTCAAATAACAGCGCACTTGAAATGTGAGCTCTTATTTTGTTTAGTTCACTTCAAACACAGCCAATGTCAACCCGTCTCACAATACCGCAGTGTGTATTCAAAAGTTGCAAAAATAAGGCCCGAAAAAGCAATTTAACGGCCGGAGTATCTTACTTTCGGTAAGTACATGAAGTATAAACTATATTGTAAGCTTTAAACTTATAAATAATATTAAATTTTGAACAAAATTACCGATTTTTAACCACCGCTACAAATGTTGGCCAAGGCTCGGCCAACACATGGACAAACTTTTGCTTAACAGAACAGTAAATGCATGGAGTAGATTTGTGTTGTAATAATTTTTTAAAATTTGTTAGCAGCACTTCAAAATTAGTTGGTTAAAATTGGTTAATGCTGCTTTTGTGTCTGTTTGTTGGACTCTCATTAGATACTTAGCTTTCCATTTTTATTTTA